GTCCTAATAGATAGGACAAAATAACAACTGGTTATATCCCCGGCTTTGCTAGACTCATCGACAGAAAGCAAGAAGACCTTATACTTGGACGAGGAGCACCCCCAGAGCAGGTCGCATCATCATCATCCCAGAAACCAGAGGGTACGCCAGAAGCAGCACCAGCTCCAGAACCAGAATATCCTGTATTCCCACCACCACCTAGCCCAGTACTAGACCGACCCTCATCACCAATATCTTCACTACCAAGATCTTCACCACCTCCACCAGATCCGGAAGACCCAGATCCAGGAGCAGAAGTATCAGATCCAGAAAGTGACGACGACGACGACACTATGTCTAAAGTATTCAAAGCCTTTGACAAGGTATCTATGCTTAAAAGTGATGGATCTAACTGGGACACGTGGAAGAATCGAGTGGAGCTAGCCACCCGATCAATTGGATTTTCAAATCACCTCACATCTAATCCAAAAGATGACACTGAAGCATGGGAAGCCAAGAAAGACGATGATGGAAATTTATTAAATGCCATTGTGGGCCGCCTATCAGACCAGATCTATAGGCGATACAAGAATTACGAAAACGTGTTTGATCTATGGAAAAATCTGCTGAGTGATTTTGATTCGAAAAGTGCTCTCACTGAAGCGCACTTACAACAACAGCTTCATTCCATGCACTGCCATGAACCATCAAAGGTTAATGAGCATTTGGATAAATTGTTGGAAATCAGGGACAGTTTGGAGGCGCGGAAAATCACCATTCCCGAGGAAATGTTCAATAACACGATCATTGCTTCCATCCCAAACATATTCAAACCAACGATTAACGCATTGGTAGTGGTTGCAGCAAGGACTTCAGTCCCGCTGACCACAAGGGAGCTAGTTTCGACGATACGTGCTGAAGCATCTGGTCATACCCGAGGACAGTCTGGAAAGAAGGAATCTGCAAACTATGCCGGTGGAAATTCCAACCGCGGCAGGGGTGGATTTAACTGAAATCATGGAAACTTCAGAGGCCAGTCCAGGGGCAGAGGAAATGGTAATAGAGGAGGAGGTCAAAGTCGACCAAACTCGAACAATTCCACATGCTACAATTGCGGTGGAAAAGGGCATTTCGCTAATAAATGCAGTTCGCCGAAGCGACAACAGGCCAACGAGGCCCAAGAGAGTTCTCAGAAGAAGGAGAAAAACCAACTGTCTGGAAGCGGCAGTACTAGTTGGAGATCAAAGAATAAAGAAGTGGGATCCTCAGCCACCATTGAGGAAGTACCCGAGTCATCGTGGGCAGCCGTGGAAGTTACCACAACTACGTCACAGGAAATATTTAATTTTTCTGAAATTGCCAATAATTATGAGACAGCCTTCGTAGCATCTCACAGCAGTGGGGCAATTCTGTTTGACTCAGGATGTTCATCCCACATGACTCCACTTCAGGACAAACTTCGCAACATGCGGAGTGTCCCTACCCAAATTATCCAGGCAGCTAACGCCGAGACCTTCACATCCAACACTGCCGGAAATCTCCAGATCGATCTTCCAATCAACGAGGATGGAATTTCGAAATCGCTTACACTCCAAAACACTCTCCTATGCCCCAACACGCCTAACACACTTGTATCATTGGGTAAACTCAACGATGCAGGATATGTGATGGTAATTAAAGATGGAACTCTTAAAATCATCAATAGACAGGGGGAGACGATTGGAATCATTCCCAAAACAAATGGTCTCTACCAGATTCCGAGTGCAGAATATGCCTATGCCGGGAAGGCAGCCAGGATGGTTTTGCTTTATGAAGCACACTGCATCGCTGGCCACCAGAACTATGCTTATGTCAAACATATGTTCAAATCAAACCAGGTTCATGGGATCAAGTTAGATCCTAAACAGATGGAAGAACCCGAATGCCGAACTTGCATGCTTGCTAAAGCTGCGAGATTTCCAATCTCCAAAATTCGAACATCCCCGAGAGCGGAGAAATTCGGTGATGTATTTCACATGGATGTATGGGGACCAGCTTCTGTGCAGACACTAAATCATTATGTCTACGCATTGACAGTCATTGACGAAGCCACCAGTTGGTTGGAGGAACCATTAATGAAGGGCAAAGATGAGGCTTTCGCTCAATACATAATACTCCAAACTGGTCTCCAAACTCAATATGGCGTAACGGTCAAGAAACTCCACTCTGATCGAGGGGGAGAATTTCTCAGTGGTGAATTCACAGCATACCTGGAACAATTAGGCACTAAACGTAGCCTTACGGTACATGACACTCCGGAACACAACGGCATAGCGGAACGCAGCCACAGGACGCTACTCAATGGAGTACGCAGCCTCATGATATCATCTGGATTACCGAAATGGCTTTGGGGATTCATGATGGGCTACACAGTGTATGTATGGAACAGGACACCAAAGAAGGCAAATGGTATGATTTCTCCATAGGAAAAACGATTTGGCACAATTCCCGACATCTCCAACTTCCACATCTTTGGAAGCACGGTCTATGTTAAACGTGAAAAGGAGCCTGGGAAGCTTGACCCTCAAGCACAGGAAGGACGATGGGTAGGCATTGAGCCAGAGTCCAATGGTTACTTCATCTATTGGCCAGATCGCCACACAGTCTCAACTGAACGTAATGTGCAATTCTCTGATAGGCAGATCCAACCTGTTGAGGGGGAGGATCAGGATTTGGGAAATCTGGAAACATCGATCACCGAGTCGGAACAGCCTATCATACCAGTACCAGAGGATATTGCCGAACCCATCAACCCAGATATAATCACAGGAAAACGTGTCAGGAAGCCGACCAAGAAAATCCAGGACATCATCAATGGACTTGGAGAGCCGAACCGAGAGCTCAGGCATCTTACAGCATCACTTGGTCAAGTAACAGGTGAAATCATCGCTGACCCCACATCAGTTGCAGAAGCAATGCGACGTCCCGATTGGTCTCAATGGCGGGAAGCCATGAATGAGGAAATCCGGAGATTACAACAGCGTGGGACATATGATATTGTCATTCCACCTGATGATGCCAACATCCTCACATCGAAATGGGTATTCAGGACCAAGCGAGACGAACAAGGAAAAGTCACAGGCCACAGAGCCAGACTAGTGGTACGAGGTTTTAACCAGATACCAGACGTTGACTACTTCCCAGATGAAACATTCGCATCAGTCACAAAGCTAGCAGCAGCCCGAGCCATTCTCAGCACAGGAGCTGAACAGAACATGTTCATTCACCAGATGGATGTCAAATCGGCATATCTATATGGTAAACTGGACGACAATGAACAAATCTACATGAAGGCACCACCAGGTGTTGACATTGAAGTTAAAGCAGGACAAGTGCTTAAACTCAAGCTCGCCCTCTATGGACTTAAACAAGCTGGTCGCTGTTGGTACATGAGATTCAGGGAGATCATGACATCAGTCGGTCTCACCAGGTCAAATTTCGATCATGCCGTATTCTATCGAACTGACCCTTTTTGTATCATATTCATCCACGTCGATGATATGACTATGCTTACCAAGACCATGGCTGTAATGGACACTCTAAAGAAGAAGATCAGGGACCAGATCGAAGTTGTCGATTCTGGAGAGATTCACTGGTTACTGGGGATTGAGATCCGCCGATCTCTACATACACGGTCCATTCATTTATCCCAAAGGGCATATATTGACGCGATCCTATCTCGATATGGATTTGCAGATGTCAAACCCCTTTCCATCCCATTTGATCCACACATACATCTTACCAAGGACCAGATGCCAACTACCGTCGAGGATATCACATACATGCGCGACAAGCCCTACAGAGAAGCTGTTGGCGCCCTACAATACTTATCAGTAGCAACTCAACCCGACATCACTTATGCAGTCGGCATACTGGCAAAGTTTTTGCAGAACCCCAGAATTACTCACTGGAATGCTGTAAAGCGTGTTTATGCATATCTCAAATACACCCGAGACCTATGGCTCACATTCGGAGGAACACAAGCAGAAATCGAAGGATACACGGACGCTGACGGAATGTCCCAGGAGGATAGACATGCTATCTCAGGATACGTTTTCATGCTCAACGGAGGAGCAGTGTCATGGTCATCCAAGCAACAAGATACCATCTCATTATCGACCACGGAAGCTGAGTATATTGCTTTGACTCATGCTGCCAAGGAAGCAATTTGGTTTAGGAATCTCTTATCGGAACTATTTGGTCCTATCACAAAACCAATCATTCTCAATGCCGACAACCAATCCGCCATCGCTCTTGCTAAAGATGATCGCTTCCATGCCCGAACCAAACACATTGATATTCGATACCACTTCATCTGATATGTCATCGAAGAAGGAAAGATCCGCCTTGTTTACTGCCCTACAGAGGACATGACTGCGGACATCTTTACAAAGGTGCTTCCATCTCTTAAGGCCAAACACTTCGCTGCGTCCATGGGACTAACAAAGGTTTGAGGGGGAGTGTTAACATTTGATGACTCACATACCATCTATGGAACATCGTTCTCTTGTTTACAAACCACTATCTCACTATCGTGTTATTAGTCTCACCGCCGTGTTATCAATCCCACCATCGTGTACTATTACTATAGGACTACCAGTAGGATACATCGTATTGTACTTCCTTTCTCTCTCGCTATGTTTAGCTGTAACATGACATCGTCTACCTTGGACTTGTATATAAACCTGTAGTATTCGTCTTGTCAAATAAGCAGTTCTCTCTACTCCTTCATTGTCTGATCTGTGTGATCAACTACAGTGCTGTGTGCACTCTATCTCTTACTGCCATTGCTGCTGAATATAACGTGATTATATTCTAACACATCCTTTTTCGATGGATTTTCTGAAGTTTCGGGTGCTTTCTCTATTTCTGGTTTGCGAGCACCGCTGCTCAAATCAAAACTTGTCACCTTCACCAGAGTCAGTCGGCAGCTAGAAGCGGCCGACGTCCATTTATCAGAAAATACACCTCATCGACTTGTTATGTTGGCGAGCTCACCGAAGAACGCGCTATCCTGGTTTAATCATGACCGCAGCGAGCCATTCTGTCTCTTACAGTCTTCCTCCAACACTAGCGTGACGTTGGTCTTCTGTCTCCAACAATTCGACGAGCGGGCATTTTGGGTTTTTGTACAGGTTCCGTCGACTTTTGCGAAACGTGAGCCGGAATTTGTACATGATATCGAAGACATTCGACCATCGGAGTTATTCTGTGACCAAGTAAGATCATCCATTAGGCTTTCTACAATCGAAATGAATGCCTTGACAGCCTGATATAATTTCGCTCATTGACGAACTACCAAATCCTTGCCTTGATGTGGGTTCCTGTGGAATTCTCCGCATCTCTGGGTCGTTTTGGGCCAACGAAGTGGCCAAGGACAACATTTCTTCCGAGCATCATCCCGCTGGAATATTGAATATTGAAGGGCTAGACGAAGCTGCTGATAAAGTTTCCGTGGATATGCTTATGCGACGTCTTTCCCAAATATTTGCTCAGGGCTACAATTGGGAGCCTAAAGCGCCGTCCCTAACGATAGCAATTGCGGACATCCCAGAAGAAGATCAGAAGCATGGCAGATTCCCGACTATAGTTGATGACACCGGCGCTACTTCTAGTGTTGTGGGAGCCCGGAAATTCCGAAGTCTGAAGTCCATCAAGGTCAATACTGCTGGCTCTAATGCCGCTCGGGTTCGAAGAGCTAAAACCCTCAGGTCTTCCGATGATGGTGCACGAGTTTTCGTTAGCAGAACTGGGAAGAACCGCAATGGTACGGGCAGAACTCTGCGATCACATCGTAGTCAGAGCAGAATGTGTGATATTGCTACAGGACGAGCTCCAGCTAGGATGGCGCCTGATCGAGTTAACTCTACTGCTTCATCGATGTTGACCTATTCCTACAAAGATTGATGACTTGCTTTGCATTATTCGAAGATCTTCAACTATTGTTATAATACTATTGTCCAATGTTGGTCAATGATATTTTCGATACGTGTTTTCTAGATGTGTAGGAAGATTGCCCACTACAAAGGTATTGATTTTGTACTTGTTGTATTCCCATATTATTGAACATAACATTTTCTACAATGTCAGGTGTCGGTTCCCTCGTTGCTGCAATGTTTGAGCGGACACTCTTTCTGAGGCTCAAAGGGAGTTGGGCGGAGGAGCCTGATCTCAAGTATGAATGTATTTCACACATGCATTCATTGTGCGCGAGTCTGACTATAGATTCTGCTCTACATGACATGCTCAAAGTCCTCATAGAAGACAGTGTTAGAATATAATCACGTTATATTCAGCAGCAATGGCAGTAAGAGATAGAGTGCACACAGCACTGTAGTTGATCACACAGATCAGACAATGAAGGAGTAGAGAGAACTGCTTATTTGACAAGACGAATACTACAGGTTTATATACAAGTCCAAGGTAGACGATGTCATGTTACAGCTAAACATAGCGAGAGAGAAAGGAAGTACAATACGATGTATCCTACTGGTAGTCCTATAGTAATAGTACACGATGGTGGGATTGATAACACGGCGGTGAGACTAATAACACGATAGTGAGATAGTGGTTTGTAAACAAGAGAACGATGTTCCATAGATGGTATGTGAGTCATCAAATGTTAACACTCCCCCTCAAACCTTTGTTAGTCCCATGGACGCAGCGAAGTGTTTGGCCTTAAGAGATGGAAGCGCCTTTGTAAAGATGTCTGCAGTCATGTCCTCTGTAGGGCAGTAAACAAGGCGGATCTTTCCTTCTTCAATGACATATCGGATGAAGTGGTATCGAATATCAATGTGTTTGGTTCGGGCATGGAAGCGATCATCTTTAGCAAGAGCGATGGCAGATTGGTTGTCGGCATTGAGAATGATTGGTTTTGTGATAGGACCAAATAGTTCCGATAAGAGATTCCTAAACCAAATTGCTTCCTTGGCAGCGTGAGTCAAAGCAATATACTCAGCTTCCGTGGTTGATAATGAGATGGTATCTTGTCGCTTGGATGACCATGACACTGCTCCTCCGTTGAGCATGAAAATGTATCCTGAGATAGCATGTCTATCCTCCTGGGACATTCCGTCAGCGTCCGTGTATCCTTCGATTTCTGCTTGTGTTCCTCCGAATGTGAGCCATAGGTCTCGGGTGTATTTGAGATATGCATAAACACGTTTTACAGCGTTCCAGTGAGTAATTCCGGGGTTCTGCAAAAACTTTGCCAGTATGCCGACTGCATAAGTGATGTCGGGTCGAGTTGCTACTGATAAGTATTGTAGGGCGCCAACAGCTTCTCTGTAGGGCTTGTCGCGCATGTATGTGATATCCTCGATGGTAGTTGGCATCTGGTCCTTGGTAAGATGTATGTGTGGATCGAATGGGATGGAAAGGGGTTTGACATCTGCAAATCCATATCGAGATAGGATTGCGTCAATATATGCCCTTTGGGATAAATGAATGGACCGTGTATGTAGAGATCGGCGGATCTCAATCCCCAGTAACCAGTGAATCTCTCCAGAATCGACAACTTCGATCTGGTCCCTGATCTTCTTCTTTAGAGTGTCCATTACAGCCATGGTCTTGGTAAGCATAGTCATATCATCGACGTGGATGAATATGATACAAAAAGGGTCAGTTCGATAGAATACGGCATGATCGAAATTTGACCTGGTGAGACCGACTGATGTCATGATCTCCCTGAATCTCATGTACCAACGGCGACCAGCTTGTTTAAGTCCATAGAGGGCGAGCTTGAGTTTAAGCACTTGTCCTGCTTTAACTTCAATGTCGACACCTGGTGGTGCCTTCATGTAGATTTGTTCATTGTCATCCAGTTTACCATATAAATATGCCGATTTGACATCCATTTGGTGGATGAACATGTTCTGTTCGGCTCCTATGCTGAGGATGGCTCGAGCTGCTGCTAGCTTTGTGACTGATGCGAACGTTTCATCTGGGAAGTAGTCAACGTCTGGTATCTGGTTAAAACCTCGTACCACTAGTCTGGCTCTGTGGCCTGTGACTTTTCCTTGTTCGTCTCGTTTGGTCCTGAATACCCATTTCGATGTGAGGATGTTGGCATCATCAGGTGGAATGACAATATCATATGTCCCGCGCTGTTGTAATCTCCGGATTTCCTCATTCATGGCTTCCCGCCATTGAGACCAATCAGGACGTCGCATTGCTTCTGCAACTGATGTGGGGTCAGCGACGATTTCACCTGTTACTTGACCAAGTGATGCTGTAAGATGCCTGAGCTCTCGGTTCGGCTCTCCAAGTCCATTGATGATGTCCTGGATTTTCTTGGTCGGCTTCCTGACACGTTTTCCTGTGATTATATCTGGGTTGATGGGTTCGGCGATTTCCTCCGGTACTGGTATGATAGGCTGTTCCGACTCGGTGATCGATGTTTCCAGATTTCCCAAATCCTGATCCTCCCCTTCAACGGGTTGGATCTGCCTATCCGAGAATTGCACATTACGTTCAGTTGAGACTGTGTGGCGATCTGGCCAATAGATAAAGTAACCATTTGACTCTGGCTCAATGCCTACCCATCGTCCTTCCTGTGCTTGAGGGTCAAGCTTCCCAGGTTCCTTTTCACGTTTAACATAGACCGTGCTTCCAAAGATGTGGAAGTTGGAGATGTCGGGGATTGTGCCAAATCGTTTCTCCCATGGAGAAATCATACCATTTGCCTTCTTTGGTGTCCTGTTCCATACATACACTGTGTACCCCATCATAAATCCCCAAAGCCATTTCGGTAATCCAGATGATATCATGAGGCTGCGTACTCCATTGAGTAGCGTCCTGTGGCTGCGTTCCGCTATGCCGTTGTGTTCCGGAGTGTCATGTACCGTAAGGCTACGCTTAGTGCCTAATCGTTCCAGGTATGCTGTGAATTCACCACTGAGAAATTCTCCCCCTCGATCAGAGTGGAGTTTCTTGACCGTTACGCCATATTGAGTTTGGAGACCGGTTTGGAGTATTACGTATTGAGCGAAAGCCTCATCTTTGCCCTTCATTAACGGTTCCTCCAACCAACTGGTTGCTTCGTCGATGACTGTCAATGCATAGACATAATGATTTAGCGTCTGCACAGAAGCTGGTCCCCATACATCCATGTGAAATACATCACCGAATTTCTCCGCTCTCGGGGATGTTCGAATTTTGGAGATTGGAGATCTGGCAGCTTTAGCAAGCATGCAAGTCCGGCATTCGGGTTCTTCCATCTGCTTAGGATCTAACTTGATCCCGTGAACCTGGTTTGATTTGAACATATGCTTGACATAAGCATAGTTCTGGTGGCCAGCGATGCAGTGTGCTTCATAAAGCGAAACCATCCTGGTTGCCTTCCCAGCATAGGCATATTCTGCACTCGGAATCTGGTAGAGACCATTTGTCTTGGGAACGATTCCAATCGTCTCCCCCTGTCTATTGATGATCTTAAGAGTTCCATCTTTGATTACCATCACATATCCTGCATCGTCGAGTTTACCCAATGATACAAGTGTGTTAGGCGTGTTGGGGCATAGGAGAGTGTTTTGGAGTGTAAGCGATTTCGAAATTCCATCCTCGTTGATTGGAAGATCGATCTGGAGATTTCCGGCAGTGTTGGATGTGAAGGTCTCGGCGTTAGCTGCCTGAATAATTCGGGTAGGGACACTCCGCGTGTTGCGAAGTTTGTCCTGAAGTGGAGTCATGTGGGATGAACATCCTGAGTCAAACAGAATTGCTCCGCTGCTGTGAGATGCTACGAAAGCTGTCTCGTAATTACTAGCGATTTCGGAGAAATTAAATATTTCCTGTGACGTAGTTGTGGTAACTTCCACGGCTGCCCACGATGACTCGGGTACTTCCTCAATAGTGGCTGAGGATCCCACTTCTTTATTCTTTGATCTCCAATTATTACTGCCGCTCCCAGATGGTTGGTTTTTCTCCTTCTTCTGAGAACTCTCTTGGGCCTCGTTGGCCTGTTGTCGCTTCGGCGAACTGCATTTATTAGCGAAATGCCCTTTTCCACCGCAATTGTAGCACGTGGAATTGTTGGAGTTTGGTCGACTTTGACCTCCTCCTCTATTACCATTTCCTCTGCCCCTGGACTGGCCTCTGAAGTTTCCACGATTTCGGTTAAATCCACCCCTGCCGCGGTTGGAATTTCCGCCGGCATAGTTTGCAGATTCCTTCTTTCCAGACTGTCCTCGGGTATGACCAGATGCTTCAGCACGTATCGTCGAAACTAGCTCCCTTGTGGTCAGCGGGACTGAAGTCCTTGCTGCAACCACTACCAATGCGTTAATCGTTGGTTTGAATATGTTTGGGATGGAAGCAATGATCGTGTTATTGAACATTTCCTCGGGAATGGTGATTTTCCGCGCCTCCAAACTGTCCCTGATTTCCAACAATTTATCCAAATGCTCATTAACCTTTGATGGTTCATGGCAGTGCATGGAATGAAGCTGTTGTTGTAAGTGCGCTTCAGTGAGAGCACTTTTCGAATCAAAATCACTCAGCAGATTTTTCCATAGATCAAACACGTTTTCGTAATTCTTGTATCGCCTATAGATCTGGTCTGATAGGCGGCCCACAATGGCATTTAATAAATTTCCATCGTCGTCTTTCTTGGCTTCCCATGCTTCAGTGTTATCTTTTGGATTAGATGTGAGGTGATCTGAAAATCCAATTGATCGGGTGGCTAGCTCCACTCGATTCTTCCACGTGTCCCAGTTAGATCCATCACTTTTAAGCGTAGATACCTTGTCAAAGGCTTTGAAAACTTTAGACATATTGTCGTCGTCGTTGTCACTTTCTGGATCTGATACTCCTGCTCCTGGATCTGGGTCTTCCGGATCTGGTGGAGGTGGTGAAGATCTTGGTAGTGAAGATATTGGTGATGAGGGTCGGTCTAGTACTGGGCTAGGTGGTGGTGGGAATACAGGATATTCTGGTTCTGGAGCTGGTGCTGCTTCTGGCGTACCCTCTGGTTTCTGGGATGATGATGATGCGACCTGCTCTGGGGGTGCTCCTCGTCCAAGTATAAGGTCTTCTTGCTTTCTGTCGATGAGTCTAGCAAAGCTGGGGATATAACCAGTTGTTATTTTGTCGTATCTATTCGGACAAGGTTGATCTTTGCAAACTCTGTATTTGCTGCCGTCGGGGTCGTGATACCGATCCTTGACGTCGTCTTTATCGAAGATATGCTCCCTATGAGCACAAGCTGCAGTTGGCTTGGTTGGACGGTTATCGGCTTTGCGAGGAGGGTTAGTCCTTAATGACATAAATCAATGTATGCACCGTATTTCTTGTTTATTTAGGTTAGGGCGGGGCCCATAACCTGTTAGAATATAATCACGTTATATTCAGCAGCAATGGCAGTAAGAGATAGAGTGCACACAGCACTGTAGTTGATCACACAGATCAGACAATGAAGGAGTAGAGAGAACTGCTTATTTGACAAGACGAATACTACAGGTTTATATACAAGTCCAAGGTAGACGATGTCATGTTACAGCTAAACATAGCGAGAGAGAAAGGAAGTACAATACGATGTATCCTACTGGTAGTCCTATAGTAATAGTACACGATGGTGGGATTGATAACACGGCGGTGAGACTAATAACACGATAGTGAGATAGTGGTTTGTAAACAAGAGAACGATGTTCCATAGATGGTATGTGAGTCATCAAATGTTAACAGACAGGACCTGGATGTTCTCGACCGCACGTACGGTGCATCCTTGTTGTCCTTGTTCTTATACCCAACTGCCACCCACATATCATGTTCAGCTTATCTTGACTTTTGAGTGAAACTCGTGGCATTTCCATCATACATTTGACAAGATGAACCAAGTGACTTGGATTCGCGCCACAGAGTCTCCTGGCACTCGGAAGATATGATTGCCGCTAACAAACCACTTTCCTTTCACTCATGGATCGACGTTCGATGCACCAAGGGATGAAATTTCCCCTACCGTACGATCGCGCCCGGAGACTCATAAGATATTATGTTACAGTAGCTGCTTCCCCCTCGCCGTTTCCAGTCATGATATCTATGAGTATAGTACCACCACCACCGAGTCACGGTAAAATATTCTTTTCAGGCTATATGACCTCGCCCGTATAATTTATATCCTATCCTATTCTTTCATTCATTCATTCTTCGTACCCCCGCTTTAAGCCAGTAGAAAATCCTTTTTGTCCATAATCATCTTGCACTGAGTTCATAAATATCCGCTCTGTGAAGATCAAATCATCCATGCTAATGGGCATGACTTCCCTAACCTCATGGACTCCTGGTAGTAATATAGCTGGATCATTTTCGTCATAAGCACCGTGACCTGCATCCCTAGCCTCTATTGCTTTCTGCTCGATTACACGGAGAATATTTTTGAGGTGTTCATGCCTTGTGGTCTCAATCAAGGTTTCAATCTTCAATTTTGCTACTGGATGGCTATCATTTCCGCTGGGATCTTCCGCTTTGACCCGCCTTCCCTGACCATTTGCAAGCTCTTCAGTGCTGAAGGACGGCTTGCTGAGGTCAACCTTTACCGGGAAACCACATACGATGCGTATGACTCCGTATTTCCCTGCATGTGGATCTCTATGCGGAAGCGCTTTAAGAGAGGCTAATGTGCTCATCCTATTGGTTGTAGTGTCGGATGTTTTCTGATGATGAATCAGCGTTTGCTACGGGCATATAACTGAAACGGAATGGACTGACGCGTCGTTCAAAGAACTCTTCCGGAGTGATGGTGGCAACAGCTTTCCTCAAAGTCAAAGGTGCAAGATCTTTTTCTGCTCGGTGAAACTTGCATTGAATGGCGAGACATACGTAAGTGAAATCCGAATTGGCCATATCTTCGAGCTTGAGAAAGCATAGAATATCTGGCCCCATGGCGTTCATGGGAAAACAGAACGCGGTGTGTCTTTTCAAGTTGAGCCAGTCATTCAAGACCGGGTTACCGTTGGATGCAATTCCGAGACCTATCGGTCCGGAAAGGCGAGGATCTCCGAATAAGCAAATTTTTCCTTCTACAAGCTCGGAACTCCCTGCGTTGTCATCTAGATGAAGCGTCACCAACGTGGCTAGCTTATTTTCCAATCCTTGGTCGTTGAGTTTCCCAGCTACTCCTGAAAAATCGAAGACATTTTTCAACTGTGTGGGCGTTTGAAAGACATTTAGCAGATAGAGTGCAATGAATTCTTCGAATCCATTGCGCCCAGCCGAAGGGTTGTGATCTTGAATGTTGTCAGTCACTGTTTTATATAGGGTATGCGCTGGTTGGTGATTGAACCAGATCGAACACGACAATAAAACAAGTGGTTCGTCAATTCTGATGGATTTCCTTCCTTGTTTTGACAGTATTCTTGCGAGACCATACTCGATGTATTCTGTTTCGTCCTCTCCAAACACAGTATCAATCTTCGAAGTCAAGAGGTATCCATGAGCGACGGTTTTGATTTTCTCTTTCATTTGCTCGTTAAGCCTGTCAAATCCAAATGCCAGACCAGGAAATCTAACAATCCCTTGAAAATCGACCTCGGACCCTCCACAATCAGCAGGTAAAAACCCCGCCATGTTGTTGATGTACTGGTTAAGTATCTCGTGCATGCTTTGATATCCACACTGCAATACTAAAGATACAAATTCTGCGGTGAATCTATATCTAAACAGAGTGTCAGACATTGCCAATAGATCCCTGAACCTTGACTTACCTTCCTCGCAGCCAGAAAAAGACTCTACGTTGAAGATGCTTGGCTTCTGCAGTGTACCATACTTCCGGTGGAAAAAACCTTTTCAGGTATTGCACTTGGCTCGTTGGATTATCAAAAGCGCCCGTGTCATACACGTCGACACAGTACGTCGGCTTCACAACGACAGAGGAAAGCACATCATAGACGAGGTCCCTGGATAGCCCAGTGCCAGTGAAAATAAAACATCCGGCAAGTCCGACTATTTTCCTTTTCCTTTCCTTTGAACGATTGAGAACTTTGTCCCACCATCTGGCTAATTCGCGAAGAATACCACGTTTCGCGGTCCAATCGGTTGATCGAAAAGAATCCTCAATGTCAGTTGTCGAAAACTGACATTCATCGATTACAATGTGTAGGGGATTCTTCGGACCTAGAATCCGCTCAATCTCGGCAAGAACAAGTTCTGAGTATGTCCTAAAAAATTGGACTTTCTTCGAGATATGCAATGTCTCCGTCTCTCCTGCGAATAAAGATTGAAGGCTCGAAGTAAGGCTAGCAAAGAGGTCTTCTCCACCACCCTCATCTAGCAAATCAGGATGGAGCTGGAGGTGCAACCATTTGCGTTTGAATGACATCTGGTCATGGTCTGACTTCGGAACCAGACGTGCCATGGTGGAAAGATATTGCCGGAAAACCAGCAATCGAGCCAATAATGGAACCAGTAGCTCAGAACCAGCAAGCTCTTGATTGCTTTCAAGGGCTTTGCGGAACTGATCATTTCGAGGAGAATCTAGTTTGAACTGACTGATTCTTTCCAAAAGGACCTCCCGTCGTAGTCGCTGAAGACTAGAGGAAGATTGTTTGTCGATACCGAAAAAGGGTTGCTGCGTCTTTACAAAGGTATTAATGTCTTTTGGGGTAACAAGAAGGCTTGGTGCATGAGGAAGGCTATTCTTCAAAGTTACTTTGTCATCCCTGATGTCCGAAAAGGCACTGGCTATGTCTTTTGAACCGACATGAGGATCAGGATCGCAGGTGAAGTAGAAGCCCCATGTGGAACACAAATGCTCCAGTACAGTTCTCGTTTTCCCCGAGCCGGAAGTGTTCACATAAATTCTGAGTTTTGAGCAACCTATCTCAGTCAAGGCCACTAAAACCAAGAAGAGACTTACTTGTGGGTATTTGAGCCGAACAATCCGCGTAATCGTTGCTGTAAGTGTTTGTCTGTCTGAAATCTACCCAATTCATATGACAGTCCGAGAGAAGGCAGCAGAGCTGTCTTCTCAGAGGATAAGATAAGATGTGGCGATGAGAGCGGGCGCTTACCGCTTTTGAACTACGCTCTCATCGTCGAAACTCACTCAAGATCGTTTTTGTGATTTCTGTGCATATACGCGTTCTTGAGTCATGACACAACACCCCCCGCTTCTCCTCAGAAGCTCGTCGTCTGTTAGGGCTGATGATCGCCAACGCCGTACCCACATTCTCGGAATTATTCCGATTCTGAAAAAACTCAGTCTGGAGAGAAGATTGGAAAGGAACTACGACATCGAACGAGCTAACGAGGCGCGGCAGGAGAAAACCATGCTTTTTATTGAAAAGAAGGCCCCAGCAAAGGGCTCTCCTTCGGCTTCGCTCATTACCATCACTGAGGACGAATGGAACGATATCAGGACGACTCCTGCCATCTTTGAGCGCGTCAAACAATGGATCCCCAGCTACATACTCGCGTGGATGACGAAAGCCAACGAGGCGGAGAATTTGTCTAGAGGGAAACGTACTCGGGAGGTGCAGGAAGGCGACGCGTTAGAGAATGGGCCGGAGAAGAACCCTAGGCTCATGACCCCCATCATCGAGACTACGCCAGATCCGACCACCTCTCAAAATGTCGAGCTTCCTGAATGCCTCTATAGAATTGGAAGGCTGCACAACTACCTCCCTCTTCCTCTCTTCACGGACAACAACCTTATCTTCATTCATTCCCACTCCTCGTCTTTTAAGACCTCAAAAACACTTCTTCCAGGGGACAAGGAACGTACTGAAGTGGTTGTCCTCAAGGATCTGTTGGATCGACTTAACATACGGGTGCCAGATGTGGAGAAAGCAGATGAAGACGAAGGTCTTTCACTATATGAATTTCAGCTCGCTTCGAAGAATTACTTTGCTTTCGAACTCAGTCGCGACCCTGATGGTCATGGTGGCACTCGAACAAACTGGACTCGACAACACTTCCTTTTCTTCAACAATCAACGTGATGCAGAGAAATACTACCGATTCTGGAAACCCCGTGAGTATCGTCTTCGGGAAGAACGCCGTCTCTATAACACCAAATTTGACCTTACCACTTATAACATGGCATGGAATCGCGTCGTCACCGATTACGAGCGGTCTTTGGAGGCGAAGCCTAGACAGGCACCGAACTCATCCACCGTTCCTTCCTCTTCTAAGCCCTTTCCGAAAGGCAACAAGGGTGACTCCTTCGACCTCTGTTGCCTTGGATGTGGTAAGAAGGGGCACTCCGCTACAGACCATTCGAGTAAACACGGCTCCCTCCTCTGGGCCAGGTGGATCAAAGGGGGTAAATCTTTCGTCCTCGGTCTCCCTCAGGGAGAAGATAAACGCATCTGCTATCAGTGGAACATCCGAGGGAATTGCAAAGCTAACAAGGGCTGTCAGGATGCGCATGTCTGCACCTTTTGCGGAAGCGATGGGCACCATGCCTTCTCGTACACGTGTCGCTCCAGACCTAATTGAGGCATTCCTCGAACTTTCGATTCCGCCAACCCTTTCTTACTATGACTTTTCCGATGCTATTCATTTTCGCTCACCACTTCCCAACACATGTCCCGAGTTCATAGAGCTATATGAGCGGATTGTCACCCCTTACAACGCAGACGAATTCGAAAAAGCTCTACTAGCTTGTAATATCTCTCATCACTACCCACTTCTTCTTCATAACCTCCGTCGAGGTTTTCCACTTGGCCACTTGCCTCCACTACACGAAACGATCATTATTCCTAATCATCAGTCAGTATATGAGCACCCCGAGGTAATTGAGCAATACATTTCCGACGAAATCGCAGCTGGTCGAATGGCTGGGCCGTTCTCTTGTGCAGATATGCATCTGATTATGCGAGGTCATTTCTATGTCTCGCCTCTCATAGTGGCTACGCAAATCCAGGGTCCCGGTATGCCTCCTAAACATAGGGTGTGCCGTAACCTCTCGAAAGATGGTCGCGACTCGAAGGGACACACAGTCCCATCAGTCAATTCTTTTACTCAGAAGAATTTGTTTCCAACACGATTCGACACTGCGGTCAAGGTTGCAGATATGGTAAGTCCAATTTCATCTCCTAACATCCTTCTCTTTCAGTTCTACTTCGTTCGACCCACTTGGTCCTATTCTACTACCATTACCTTAATCATTACTGTCCACTTGCCCACTTTCACTTTCACTCACACTACACTTTACCCAGGTTGCTACTGCACCACCAGGCACACAAGCTTGCACTCTCGACATTCAGAAATTCCATCGCACTTGTCCAATACTCCCCGAACACAAACCTTTCCTTGTGGTTCAGGATCACTTAGGCCGTTTCTTCGCAGATCTTGTTTTTTGTTTCGGGGCTGCCCCGGCTAGCAGCAATTCAGGAATGATTTCCAATGCGGTTGTTGACATTTTACTAAGCAAACTTGTTGATGCGCTGCTGAAATACGAAGATGACTTGAAAGCTTTCCGGATTCTCAACTCCCAAGGTTCCTTCAATTACGACAGGACCTCGATGTTGGAGGCTATCGAGACACTTGGCGTCCCATGGCATCCCGATAAAGGTGATGAAGATTTCGTGACAGTTACCAGATTCATAGGTTTTCTTTGGAACCTGGAGCTCAAGCGCGTTAGTCTTCCTGATGACAAACGCATCAAATACCTCGAGCGTATTCGGGTTTTCCTCTCGAATTTCGCAAATGCCCGTGTTCCTGTATCAGAAGTTGAGTCTATACATGGCACACTCTGCCACATTGCCTTCATCTACCATGAAGGTCGATCTCACCTTCCCCCAATCTCAAATTTTATGGCTTCGTATCGCAGTTCATTTGAAGAAAACCGCGGTCGTTTTCCCCCTCCCAGTGTTCTTACGGAGCTTCGATGGTGGCACTCTCAACTTCAGGACCCCTTCTACTACCGAGAACTCCGACCTCGAGGTGAACTCAAGGACTTTGGTCTTTTTGTTGATGCTTCCACTGACTGGGGTATTGGAATTGTCTTTGATGGCAGCTGGGCTGCATTTCGTCTCCGTCCCAATTGGAAGATCCCTGGACGTGATATTTGCTGGCTCGAAACAGTGGCTGTGGAATTATTGATTTATTTTCTAGAATCGATGAATTTCCATGACACCTACCTTCTCATTCACTTGGATAACCAGGGGACTATTGGTGCATTTGACAAAGCACGCAGCCCTAATTACTGGATCAATATGTCCATCCGTCGCATCTGCGGGGTCATTGGCCCACTATTCATTCAGCCTGAGCTCAGATACATTCCCACCACTCTCAATCCAGCAGACCCATTCTCGCGCGGAGAACTCGGTTCTGTTGCGGATAAACTTCCTCTTACTTTTTCACTCCCATTGGAGTTGCAAGAAATACTTGATTATGTTTAGGTATGCTCAAGCTATTCCTTATTACTTATTACGTCGATTCCAGCTGAAATTCATGCTTACACAGCCCTCTTCATTTCTTGGTGCTAGACAGTTCTGGCCCGAGTTTCACGGTTCCGCGCACCGTGGAAACTCAAACAATTCCCACTTCGAACTCCTCCCCATCACACCTAAACCCACTAGATTTCCGCAACAACTTCGCATCCCCACATACTAGCACATGTAACCCTCAACTTCATTCTTCACAACCAACTATTTCCTCTAAACTACCAACTACCACCCCTGCTCAAGCCCCACCTTGGGCAGGTAATTGCTTCGCTCCAGCTCCTAGGAAACCCAGAAAGGATTCCCAAATCGCCAACAATACCCTGCGGCCCAACGTTAGCTCAGCCAATCGGATATTGGCATGGACGTCACCTTGGTCTGTCGAGATGAAACTCAGAAACCTAGAGTCAATCCCTTTACATATTCTTCAGCAAGCCGAACAAATTACAGCTTCGGGGCTCACTGAGCAGACGAAATCAAACTATGCAGCGGGGCTTCTACGTTGGCATCAATTTTGTGACAGAGAATCAATACCCGAGACAATGCGCATGCCCGCTTCTGAAGTCCTAATAGCAGGTTTTGTTGGCGCACATGCAGGAACGGTTTCAGGTAGTACAATCCGATCATGGCTCTCTGGTATACGGGCTTGGCACATCCTCAACAGAGCTCCATGGCCTTCAAACTCGGAATTCATTACACTTGCTCGACGGGCGGCGAACATCAAAGGAAGCCAACATAAGCGTCCACTTCGCAATCCAATCACTCTACAGCATCTGCTCGTTCTCCATTCTGCTCTCGATTTCAGTGTTCCGTTTCACTGTGCTATCTGGGCGGTTGCCCTCATCTGTTTCTGGGGATGTCGCCGTCTTGGCGAACTGACTATACCGTCCAAATCCGCCTTTGACCCCAAGTTCCATGTCATCCGCTCAGGCATTCTGTCTGATTTTCTTCTGCAATCTTCGCGAACTCGCATCAAATTTCATATTCCATGGACCAAATCAACAAAGGAACTCGGTGCCGATGTCGTCGCTTCTAGACAACCAACCAGCTTATGCCCATGCAAAGCTTTTGAACAACATTGGCAGATGAACGCCGCCGTTCCTGAAGGCTCCTCACTATTCAGTTTTATTGACAAATCGGGCTGCTCCCAACATATGACAAAATCCATTTTTCTCAAATTCGTTTCCGATATCTGGACACGCGCTTCAATGCAACACGTACTTGGTCACAGTTTCCGTATTGGCGGGGCTGTCGAACTTCTTCTTGCCGGTGTTGCACCTCATGTTGTTGCAGCAATTGGAGGTTGGACCTCCCTCGCATTTCTCATATACTGGCGTCGTCTGGAGGACATTATCATCTCCCAGGTCGCAGATGCTTATGACAAGCGTTGGGATCGGGTACGCAAAGCAATGGAGGATTACAGGAAAACAAATAAAATTTCGGCCACTCTTATTGACAGCTGCATCCGCGGCGAGGATACTGAATTGTCTGAGGACTAATTAAACTCAATTTGTACATTATATTACCCTTCTAATAAAGCTATAATATATCCTTTGTATGCCCTCGACTCGGCTTGGGGTTTAGTCAACCACAGTTGATGTTGAGTTGCCTGTGTTGGAGCCTCGGGCTCTGTTTGGGCATGTCCAGGCCACTCACCATCTACGGGTGGGTGAGCGGGGCTGCGCCCCAGGCAAAACCTCATCCTCTAGTTAAGAGCACTCGTTAGTGCTCTCTACATTCCCCAGTGAGCTCGGTTGAGCGAATCTTATCTTATTCCGAGAGAAGGCAGCAGAGCTGTCTTCTCAGAGGATAAGATAAGATGTGGCGATGAGAGCGGGCGCTTACCGCTTTTGAACTACGCTCTCATCGTCGAAACTCACTCAAGATCGTTTTTGTGATCCCACCCTCCCTTCCCTTTTTCACTCAAGTGTCCAGTCTTCTGACAAAGACGCTCCAGGCTCAGCCAACCGCTTTTCGTGTGTTTTCCCACCCGAGCGGGGCTGCGCCCCAGGCAAAACCTCATCCTCTAGTTAAGAGCACTCGTTAGTGCTCTCTACATTCCCCAGTGAGCTCGGTTGAGCGAATCTTATCTTATCATGTCAGGAAGATCATCATGAGGTGCACAAGCTCGTGGAATTTTTAAATCATGTATAAATCTTTTGTGCCTCTCTGGAACAGTAACAGACTCGGAATCAAAGTAAAATTCGGGCTCCCATAAGGGCAAAGATATTTCATCTTTAACCAGTCGCTCCATTTGCGGCTGAAGTGTCTTCATAAGCTTGTTAAATACGTCCAAAGAGAATGTATCTTAAAAAAGAAATTGGGAGAAGCTCGAATTGGAGATGTAACTGTGTACCTTTTGCTGCTGGACTCGGAGATTCTGGAGCTTCGTCAGAGTGTAAGCGAACTCGGAAACGAAAGGAAAGAGTAACAATCTGTACCTAGTCGTGCCTTGGACACATTCTCATGATCCAATTTGTCTAAGTAATATCCAGAGATTCAGACTTGATATTTGGCCTATGCGTTTGAACTCACCACTAGTCAGATGTTGTAAGGGAAGACCAGCTTCCCCGTCGTTGTCAGCATCAAACTCAAAAAATCGCATTGACATGGATGCCGGTGGTCACAGAAAGGCTGAAGTGACAGGAAGCGAAGAACGAGGAAATGAAGGACCTGTTGTTTCGCTATGTCAGTAAATGGATAGTACTTAAAGATCCTGTTTTCTAAATTGATATCGGTCAACAACAGAGAACAAGGGCAGTTCTGATGGGCTCCAGGGAAATACGGAAGGTTACGCAATTGAACAAAGCAGCTTGCAATTCCATCGATCTTCTCAATAGAGAGCCGGGTACACCTTAGAGATACTATTGTTCTCTTAGTATAGTGCAATACAAAGGTAAGACAAAGGGAAGACAACACTTACCAAGTTTGATACGAGCATTGTTGAATACAATGTGGGTCCATGTGTCAAAGCTTACCAGGTTCAAATTTTAAAAAATACCATAAATGTATACATGTTATTCAAGTTGGTAGGCGCGGGGGATGGGGAAGATGATTAGTATGTAGGACGAGCTGATTTGTTCGGTCATGGATGTACCAGAAGATAGATCGATAACGAGTATCATTGATATTACCATCAGGTAAAGCCCGTAAAGTTCACTGGCGTGAGAGCACGCAAGCCTCTCATATGCATGTCAACACCCTGCTACATGGTCCCTTGCGCAACCCGAAGCATACTCACAGGAATAAGAATTACGCTGCACTGAAGAGCTCTCAGCCGATCTGGATATGTATTTTTGCTCAAAATGCTCCTGGTAATAAGATAATGATACTGTACATGTGCACAATTGCGTATTCTTCTAGAAATTTACCCTAAGAAAATAGGAATGAAGGGACGATGTATGCGATCTAATGAAACGAAAGGTTGAGCACCTACGCAAAAAGTCTACAGGAAATAATGTCTATCCATGTCTTTCTCATAGCAGTCCGAAACGACAAGTTGGTAAAAGATGAAGAGACGACGGGAATGAGTGTGTCGATCGAAAGAGCGGGAAAGGTAAGTGCATTCAACCCAATCAGCAGTATACTGAACCACTTCTTCTGACTTCATTATATCCTGCTTTTATCACGTCCATCTTCCTCATCCATTGCCTCTGCCATCAAATCTCCCCAAATTGAGTTCTGCATCCCTTCAAGTACAAGACTTGGATCTTCATCACCCATTGAGTCTCGCGGGTACCGATATCCTAGATCAGTCGATAATCGACTTATTTGGCTCATATCGCTCGTTCGCCGGTTGCTCCGGTGAAGTCCCGTCGCACCCGCTCCTACTACGCTACGCCTTGGGCTTGATGAACCCCCGGCCCCAGCTCCCCCTATTCCCACTCCAGCGGGCAATGTCAGCGAAGTGTTCGGAGAATGTGATGGCGAGAAGGAATCTCGTGATGAGAGAGACGGAAACGATTGCTGTTGTTGAGCAAACTGCGACCCTCCGAAGCCCAACGCTCCGAAATCGAGTTGGACGGATCCGAAATTTGTTCTGCGCACAGGTGTTGGTGTACTAGGTGCTGAGTTATCCCAACCGGAGAACCCTACGGTAGAGATATCCCGGCTAGATGGTCTCGAAGGGGAGAGTGAAGGCGAAGGGAATGGTGGTGGGGTTTCAGGCATCGTGTCGACGACAATGGCAGGAATATCTGGAAAAGTACAACCATTGAATATACTATTCTCATGAAAATATCGGACGTGAAAGTTCACCAGGATCATACATCGACGCCCGCTTCCTTTCCATATGTGCTAAAAATCTCCGTCTGAGAGATATCATCTTCAGCAGAGATTGAACGCGATCTAAGTTGACTAGATCTGTCACGAGTTTGTTCGTCTCTGTCCGTATCACCAGGTCGCGTAATCTGAAGTTTGGTAAGTTCAGAAAAAAAATCGTTAATGCAGATGCACCTACACCAACGCATCAGAATCTTTAATGAGCTTATGATGTGCCAATAACAGCAGCATATCAGTGAATGAGATTCCTCGCCCTTGCTGGTGTGCGATTGTCGCTTCGTGATACAGCCGATTGTAGACTGCACGGCGCTTTCGAATAGTGGCGTAGTCTATTCCATCTAACACGTTGTTTAACTTGTCTATGTCTAGACCTTCTATAACATTGGAAGACAGGTTGGACCATGGCTGGATATTGGTGAGAGTAGACGTGCTGTTATCAGACGGCGATGCCTTGCACGCTGCTGCGATATTGTGGATGTTATATTGTGCTGGGTATATTCTGACTTCGAAAACGCCACTTAATTTCTGGAAGGGATTTGATCAGATTTTTCTATCTGACATAAAGATCTACACGCACACCGAAGAAAGGTACGAATTGCGAGCGCTCGAGATAACCGGTTTGAGGATTCGCAAACTCTGCCCAAACCTTCTTGAAAGCCCGCATTTCTTCTCGGGTGATGGCCCTAGAACCACCGGATGCTTGGAATACGTACGAGAAGCTATCGACGACCACACCTGTAAGCCTTCAGTGAATAGTGGCTATCACCAAAGGTAAAAAGCACCGTACCAGTGAATAGATTGACAAATATGTACTATTAAGATGAGTAGATAGGCGTGTAAAATCGGAAAAAAATGGTGCCCATACCATGCTCAATAAGTTCCAAGCAATGAACAGCGTGAACGCCCACCCAAAACTTCCACAGTCCGAATCAACATCCTGATTAGATGAATTCGAGCAGCGTGGATAGACTAGCGCACTACATTTCGGGTGTTAATTGCGTAAATATATCAGCCAGTATTTGACTCACTAATCATGCATGTATTGATTCCATCCTTCTCTACCTCGATCATCAGCAAATGATGAATGAGAATTCGCAGCGGCTTACCCTGTGGACATGAATGCTAGCATTACAAGAGCAGAGCTTATTGAAGAATAATTTCTGCCTCTGTCTTCCCCGGTCTGCCATTTTGTCAACCCGAAAACTTCAACATCGAGAATTGCAAAGAACATGAATAGGATCAACCAGAGGAGAAGGAGAGTCAGAATGGACGGAAGACTTGCTCTAGAATACTGACATTTCATTTGAGAGAATAGATATTGACAAAATACACGCACATTGCAGTTTTGAACAGCTTGTTCAAACTATTTGTTCGTTGCACCAACTTGAACGCTACAAGCACCAAGAATAACTTCTGGAGTTGCTGTTCAAGGAAGCCGATGTTCCCAAAGCGAGCTATGAATGTTGTCGCGAAGCTACCCATCGTGACCAAGATGTCGAACAAGTTCCAACCGTTGGCACGAAAGCTCTTCCAACCAAGTCCATAAAGTCGTACGCTCACATCGATCATGTATATAAAGATGATAGTGAGGAAAAAATCATCTGATAAACGTTGGTTTAACACATGAACTTCAATATGACAATACTCGTCACTCACTTCTCATACTTTCTGATATTGTAGTGGAAGTATATGTTTGTGTCCTTCGATTGTCTATTTCAATGCATGGCCGCGCCAAAAATATTGAGAATCACGTACATGAGAACGATGACATGGACAGTGAAGAGCACCGTCATACATCTTGACCACCATCCGTGTTTGTGAACGGCTCTGTCAAAGCACCAAGCGCGTGGGCCTGAAAGAGGTCTTCGCTGGGGCCGTTTGGAAGGTCTTTGGCGCTTGAATAGTTTTTGGAGGTCAATCCACTCTCGCTGAGGTTGAGTGAGGAGCGCTGTCCCTGTCCTAGACTTAAAGTTGCCAATAATGATACTAGAGTTGTTGAGTTTTCATGAGGTCAAAATTTTGTCTTGACTTTTTGGCACACATACCTGACAAATAGCGTCAGAATAACAACACCACCCAGGAGGTTGTAAATCAGGAAAAATAACGCATTCCACTGTGAAGCATTTGTTTGAGGTTGCAAACCGTCTCCGACCGCACTAGCAGCAGCCTGCATAACATCAACCCAGCCCTCCAGGGACACGATCTCGAATAATATGAGGAGAGAAGAACCGAAATTGTCGAAGGAGAATTTTGTCGAAGGAGCAGGATTATCCCAGACACGAGGAACAGGGTAGCCAAAGGCATCGTTGATGTATGAATTAACGTACTCATTCGTGCAATCGTCCATGCCTGCAGCGTTGCTGTCATTGCAGGTGTTCAATTTACCTGCAAAGATATTGAGACCCCAAACGGCATAGGGTACCATATACAAAATCGCAAGCAAGGCCGCATCGAAAATCCGACTCGCGCCGGATATGATGAGCGACTGGAACGAATTTCGCATTCGATCAAACAAAGTGATAAGGCGAAGGGCCCTAAGCGCTTTCAATGACCGAGTAAACCGACTAAGACCGCCGATGAAGATGAGGCCCGTAGTGACATTGACCAGAATACCTGAGAGTATGACGAAGTCGATAACGTTCCATATACTTCGTATATAAGCATTTGGCGTGAACAAGAATCCATCAGCGATGATTTTGATTATGAATTCCAGTAACAGAACGAATCCGAATGTAGCTTCAGTGAGATCGAACCAAGCTCCCCGGATTCTACCATTAGTAGCATAGTAATTCCGGCGGTATACAGGTGTCGCGATAATTTCGGTCACAATACCACCAATCACCGCGAGGAAAATGATGACCTGGAAAATAGGATGGGCCACGTGGGATGTAGGCACACCGAAGATACGTTCCCCGTGAGCTGGTTGTACAAGTCTTTGGCAGAATCGTCGAATCGGATCCTTTTGTGAAAATATCCAAAAGGTTTTGTCGTACGTGGGATGATCCCGAATGAAGTCAGCTTTTTGGGCCCTTCTTTCGAAAAGTGCATCGTTGAGATCATTAGAGTTAACTGCCTCTGGGTTTACAGAGGCAAGCAATTCCCTATTTCAAATATCAGAATAGCTCACACCTGCAAGGAAAAGAACGTACAGGTGACGCTCAGTTTCCTCGTCTCCCAGGGCTCCCAAAGTTTCGCTCCGGTTATGTTTGAGAGTAGCGAGTGGTACATCATCCGCCCTTTCATCTCCTCCGAAGAGTTTCTGCAAGGCGGAAAGCGATTTTGTTGTATAATGCTGCATAGGTTTAGCACCTGCAGTTCCCCTTACAGCTTTGTTCTGATTCGAGTATCACTAGAAGGAACTTACGGTGTCAACGGTGAAACTCACATCAATAGGACGGTTGTCAGTTCCTGAAGTGTAGTCTTGAACAAGAGCTTGTTGCATGGGCAAAACAAGACTCGATGGAAGGTTCTCAACCTGAACTTTAACTGGATTTGCCTTGAACCACCGGTAAGGGTTCAGTCGTCGCACCCAGGTAGCTTTCCCAGCTTGTACTTGATGGGTGGACCAATAGTGAGTTGCCTGCTGGCTCCTCTTTTGTTCCTCAGCAACATCAAAATTTTCGTTGATGACGGCGATGAACATTTGCAAGACAATGACTGAATATTTGAATGGCATGTGAGTCTCAACTTGACACCAGTGGTACAGAAGGCTCACAGTTGGCAAACAGTAACCACAAGCTGATAAAGAGCACAACGAGAACGGTTTGTCCTAGTTGTAGCTCGGCTTGACCAGCATTGTAAAGTACGTCAGTCCAGTTCTCCGACGAGAAAACCTGGTAAACAGCAAGAAACGCGTTGTACAGCTGACCAAAGTTCACCGCGTCATTAGAGCTCATGTCGCCGCGCAACAGTTGCGAAGACACCAAAGCAGCGAGAAAGTTGACCAAAATGAGGAACAGCGACATGTTGGTGAGACCATACATATTTCCGAAAACCGACAACTTGATAAGAATAAGTCAATAGCCAGATGTGATGGAACAGGTGAAGAAAAACTCACCAAAAGAGGCTTCATCCGAGGTACCTCCAAGATTACCCTATAGAACCTCATAAGCTGGAAAATCGTGAACCACGAATAGACTGTCGAATCCTTGATGACTGGAATCTGAATTATGGACGATCCAACGGCGAGAATCACGTCCAACCAATTCTGGGCACGAACGAAAAAGCTTCTCCAGTCAGGTAACGTCGCCAACATTCTCACTACAATCTCCAAATCGAACGCGAACGTAATGCCCAGCTCGCCAAACGATAATATCTCTGCGTGGGTGGAAGATACTGACGCCGTGCGTGTGGCCTGCAGCGTTAACGAAGCAAGGGCGAGAAGTACCCAGCACCATCTGGTGTAGTCGTATATCGTTTTAGCGATGTTTTTCTTGACAGGCTTGTTGCGATCAATAGCCGCCCAGCCATCATCGCGTTCGTCCTCGATCACAGGCAAACTGAACGAAAACAGATGACTCGTGAAATCAAAGCAAGAGGTCGACATACATACCTTGCGGCACCAAAAGCACTCTTCTGCGTCTCAGATCGGATCGCGCTGAATGTGTTGGTTATCACCGCAACGAAGAGGTTGATTAGCCAAAAGTTGAGGACAATGACACAGACGATGAAGAACAGCGAGGAAACGAAATATTCGGCGTCTATTATGTCGTACATCAGGCCGGACCACTGCATGAATTGAGTGATAGCTGTGCAGCTATAGATAGGGAACAACATACCGAATTCGCCGACGCAGTCACGACGATTTGTAGAGCTGCATAATAGATGGTATCGAAACTCTCTATATTTCCTTCCGGATTTTCCGTTTCCTGAGAGTTAATGGGTACGAGTAGAGATTCCTATTGGAAATGTGAGACGGACCTGGCAAATTTGCCCTAATGGACAGATATAACCCTTCGCAGTGTATTCTGAAACTGATCCGTTCAACAGGATATAAGGATTGGCAACAAGTGTTGTATCGTTGATATGGCCTCCGCAGAACTGATTAGAGAGTTGTTGTTGTGTTTCTCCGTTGACAGGAAGAAGAAAACAATTTCGCCGTAAAGAGCCTTTAAAAGACTGGATACCGATGACTCTGGGACAAGTTGAATTTTCGGAGATAATGAAGTTATTGAGCACATACGAGAATAAGATCATCGCAAATAAGACAAAGAGTGCCACGTTTGCTAGTAGCGGCCGAGCCGTTTTCAAAGAGTGCATAATGGTCTACAGGGACGATTAGAGCTCAGGGAATTCCAAAATAGACAATAGCACTAACTGTAGTACCAGAGGTAATGGTCAACAACCGTGCTGTCCTGATCACGCTTAGTGCCCGAAAAACACCAATATGATGGGTCCCATCCTCCAAACCCAGCATCGCCAGAATGAAAGACGTCCAAAACCCCAAGATAGCAACGAAATCAATCCTTCCCCAGCTTTGCCTGAGATATGGCACACTTCTCATAGTCTTGTTATGTGACTGATTTATGCTCAGTCTGAACGGCAGCGACAGGGTCTCCTGGGGATCCTTCCGGTCTGAGCGTAAGACGCTCGAAAAGAAGGTAGGATGCGGAGGGTCTCGGAGAACGCTATGGGACGCTTGAGCGACGTGCTTGATTTTTTCGGTGACAGGGTTAACAGGTATAGTTTGTGATATGGAGGGGTTGTGATTCTGTTGCTCTGTGGTTACATTGTTCGAATTCGGTAATTCAAAAGGCCTCTTGAGATTACGGTTGAGTCTATTGAAACGTTCGGTAATGGAGAGCCCACGAGAGAGGGGTCCGCCGACATTATTCGACAGGGTAAGTTGACGCGGAAAAGTGTTGTTGGTAGAAGATGACTGCGAAGGCATGGAGATGTCGGCAGAGCTCGCCAGAGGCGACGTGAAGAAGGTTGAAGCGGAAATGTCGGGATCGAAGATGAAACCTGAAACACATATTCGAGCAAACGCTTCGAGACTGGTAAAGACTGGTTCAGATATTTATTACAGCAAAAAGCAAGCAACATACGTGAATAGGACGAAGAGCACGAAGAGCACATAATCCTCCCATTCGTGGAAGTATCCAGTAACGTGAGGAGGGAGAGTGTCGCCGACATTAGCGCCGTCAGGGAGGGTAAGGCTATGTGATGCCTGGAGTGTAAGGACAACGGCATTCACAATGATAAGAAGCAGTATAATGGGTTCCGTCCATCTGAAAGAAGTCTAAATATGTGAGATGACAGAAGACACGCTACTCACGGGTATATGAGCCAACTATACAACCACAATCGTAACTTGTTACGAGGTCCGAGAAAACAAAGCGTACGTCCACGTATGGGTAATCTTGCACTGAGGTCTGGTAATGGTTCATCATCCGCAGTTTCTTCGTTCTTCTCGCTATCATCGTCGGGAAGTCTGACCTGGTTTTCGAGTGCGCTATTCCCGAAATTGACCACACGAAGAGAAGCCCGGCGTAAGGATTTCGATACGGTCTTCAATGCGCTTCCGGTCTTTTTAAGAGGAGAAGGCGAAGCATTATACCGGACTGTCCTTCTCTTTGCCCGTGGTGACAGAGCTCCAGCAGTCCTTTCCATATCCGTCTCTCCAAATTCTTCCCTCCATCTCTCTGTGGGATTCCTGGACATATTGGTTGTCAATCTTGCCTGGTCATCTTCTCTGGTTCCGTCCATGTCAAGCAATGAAGTTGTTGATGGACCTGCTTGGGCGGTAGTATAATAGCTGATGGTATAGTCTTCTTCTGGCTGAGCGTCGTATTGGGTGGTGGTAGCGAATGGGATGGGAGCAAAAGAACGGTCATCCGTTGGTGAGTCTTGAAAAGGATCGTCGTGGACAGTGTAATGTGCTGAGTTTGTGGCGCCTGGCTGTGTATCAAGTTGCAAAGGATCCTGTCCTAGGTCCACCTTGCCCCAACTGGTACGTCTCCGGGAGTTGTTATTGGACGGCTCGAGAGACGGTGAAGGGGGGGCAGAAGAAGCTATCCCGGCAGGAGTTCTAGTTAAATCAATGGCGGAAGATGATGAACTGCGACGAAGATATTTGTCCTGCGAGTCCATAAGAGATTGAAGGTCGTTATTGTACGCGCTCGAAGACGAGCAAATGTCGGCGCTTCGTCGCGAAGGGTAAAGAAATTATAGTATCCTGGGAACTGCGTATCTGATCTTTCGCGGTATTGAATTGCCGTTATTTACCTTCATTCTGCACGACGTTGAAGGGTTTGTTTTCCATTATCCACTTTACAGAATTCGCACAGATCTCCTGCAGTCCTTGGCTGCGTATACGAGAAACTCAAAAGGTAAATTACAAGGTTTTTAAGTGTAAAAGCCATTGGGGAATTGTACAAATATATTTAGTTTGGTCCTCATTATTTTTAGTAGATGAACGGCTATGGACGGGCATGAGACGAACAGCTTGGATATGGTCGATTATGAAGAAGGGAGGAAAGGGGATGAGATCGAGGATTAATGAGAATCGCAGGGGGTTGAGTCGGCGGTGTGTTCATTTAAATCCAACATGGAATTGGAGGAGCTGACCTTCCACAGATAGGAATGAATCATAATGCGCTCGTACTGGACGAGGGCACTTCACCTCTGGTGCTGTGACGTCACTGGCAAAAGTATCACCCAATGACTTCGTTCTTCGTCTAGGACGTTCGGCCGTCATGGCGTCTCCGAGCGTCAGAATATCGATGCCCTTCAAACCTGCGGAGGCATAATGCGTATCTTGGTCTGGCTCGGCTACATCCGGGAACCACTCGCTGCTGTCTCTATAACGTCGTAATAAAGACGTATGTTCGCGTTGAAGAAACTTGGTCAAATCGCTACTCATTATGTCGAGTTTTGGCACGATTACCGATTCTTTGCGACGATCAGAGGACGGCGGGATGACGCGATTTTCACTTGCTGGTCCACACGACTGAAAGTACGATGAGGGTGAAAATTCAGCGTAAATTTTTCCTTTATTTCCAGATATTCCAAACACATTCTCGCATTTGCCAAAAACCTCTGCAGGATCGGGGAGTAGAGAAGGTGATGGCGCTCTCGGTGGCCATTCCGTCTTGGCGACTCTTTCCACTACCTTATGTTCCTCGACAGGCGTGATGCAACGAGAACCAGTCCCGTTTAGTTCTCCAACCAACGACTCATAGCCCTTTGGTCGCCAACGTGTCGGTTGTTGCGCCTTGATACGTTCCTGTGCTTTACGAACATAAAAAAGCAATGGCTTAGGGGAATCTATGGAGGTCTTTGCAGGTGTGCGTGCATCGTGTCCCTTGATGATATCCTCGGAACGAGATCGAACCATCGTTCTGTTGTCCGGGTTGGCGGATGTTTCACCGACAATGTCAGCCATGCTACCTCGAGGCTCCTGACTGCAAACTCGAACGTTCCTCTGAGGGTTTCTGCCAACGTTGCTGATCCAGGAAACGATACTTCGAGGTGTGTCTCGCTGCATGGTGACAGCAGCATATGGAGGACTGCACTGAAGTGAATCACTAGGACACCGAGGTCGACGTTCCATCGCGCTGGTGGATTCGAATGCGGTTCCCGTTCCTAATGGGGTTGATTCACTGGTCCAGAACGAAGGTGTCTGGGATGGGTACGAGTGCGTGTCCGTAGCGCTCTAGATAAGTTTTGTGGTAGACAATGTTAGTCAATTTATCGCTAGACGCTAATGGTGTTGACTCACTAGATTCCCTTTTAATGTCGCAAAATGAGGTGGTACCTCTGTCGAAGCCTTCGCGTTTATTCTGGTGCTTTCACTAGAAACGCGGTCGGTGTGATCTAGATTCTCGATAGAGCCAATGTAGGAAACGTAAGAAGGACGGCTGCAGCTCAGTACTTGAATATGTCGGGTCATGGAAAACAAGATTCGGGAAGAGGCAACGGAGGAAATAAATCACGGTGGAACGATATTTCAACGGAAGTTTGCTAGAGTTCTTTGAAGTTGGATGTTAACGTTCAAAGTTTCGATACCAATATAAACTAAGAACACTCATTGTTATCGCGTGCAGGTTTTGCTTTGTCCCCGGCGAGTGGCCACGACGATGACACTCGGACCTATCGTGACAATGGGAGGTGGAGGGAAACCCCGCGGCTTGACAATGGAATGTTTAAAGCAAAATCCAAGCTTTCCCCGATGTTTGATTCTTTGCGTTCGTCCTATGTACATAATTTGTGCCTTCCGGGAACACTAACTAGGGCTTTGAGGTGGGTGTGCTTTTCAAAACCAGACCTGAGGAATTTGAGATCGCTCTTCTTTTTGGTGCTCCTGCCATACATGATGCCCCGTTATCTTAATGCACTCACCAGATACTTGTACATGTAGCAGCTTGTAGTAGCATTATGCACTGCACACTGTACGCGACGCGTCGGAAACACGTGACATTATTCACACGCCACAAACGCTTCCTGATCATTATCATAATGATCATGAGGTGAGGCCCGAAGACTCTTTTCCCTGCGGCCATTTCAGCCCGCGACCGTTTCTGTCTCAGTCTGGGAAGGTTTGGGAGGACTTCTTCGTTCACATTAGATTCCTACTCTCTGGCAAAATCAGGCCCTCGGCGCACCCCGGAACTACATATACGTATGCTTGAACAGTTACTACTAGTACTTCAACAGTCTCCTAAAGGATTGAACCAGCTTGAGCAATATTTGAATCCAGATACATGCCAAGTACCAGTACACTGCCAGTTGTGGTACAGGATGCTGTGCGCCTTTGGTATTCCCGCAACTTTGGATATGCATCATGATAATGATACCTTGGCATTTTCACGAAATATGAAACATTTCTCCTCATACAAGTCGCAAGCCAAGACTGGGCTAATTTCTGCTAAGATGTAGCTCCGTATCAAGCGCACAACGCTCATTTCGGGCCTGCGAGGGTATAAAAGCTTGTCCAAATCCTCACTGACAGGTATCCAGAGGTATCCTTCCCCGACTCGGCTGGTCCGTCCGTTCAACTCTGTTGTCAGCCCACAGTACTCAGGTAGTACCTATTTCTCATCCTTTCGAGTTGATCTCGTTGGTCTTGTCTGGAATGCTTGCTTTCATACTCGCCTCCCGCTTTCTTTTCTTTCTTGCAGTCATATCAGTGGTTATTGCAGCGCCCATTCCTAGAAATCTTCGGAACTCCCGCTTGATGATGAATCGTGATGATTCAGACTCGGAGTCGGATTCTAGCTCAGGCTCTGACTCCGATTCAAGCTCAAGCTCAAACACCGACAACACCAGTATTGATAACGACAGCACTAGCACTAGTGGTGTCTCCTTTGTCGCAGACTCGTCTATCGACGTCGCCGCGGTTCTTCAATTAGTTAAATCTGTCACATCTAATCCCGTATCCGGAGCAAATTATGGTACGGGACACGATGATAACAAGGCGCAGATTTATGAATTGGACGTGGACAGCTCGGCGGGTGGCTCGGTCTATGCTTTCGAAGCAGATATGGATGTTGATTGCGATGGTACTGATGTAAGAGTACTTTTTTGCTACCGCTTGAATTCGTTCTAATTCTCCCCATGACACATATCTTTAGTATCAGTGTCAGGTTGGCACTACTTCTCTAAGAATAACTCATAATTCATATACTGATTCTCGCTCTGAACTCATAGGGAAACGATGACGGGCAATCAGAAACTAGTTATGGGGCGCTTTCCGCGAAGAGAGTACCCTTCTACGTCCTGCCACAGTCATTCGTAGATCAGCAGAATATCAAAGGAAACTCTCTCGGGGCCATCATCTGCAACAACAAGATGTTCTATGCCATCATGGGTGATACAAAGTTGGTTCATTCTCTTAAGTCGTGCCGTTCAACCCGTACGCTGACATACTACCTATTTCAGTGGCGACTCTCCTGAAGTTATCGGAGAAGCCTCCTGGCTAATGGCTCGAACGTGTTTTCCTGCTGATGATCTGAACGGAGCTAAAGGACATGATCAGTCTGATGTTACATGTTAGTTGCCTATCACTTAGATTGTAATGGCGTGTTTTCTTATACTCCTGATCCTCGCAGACATCGTCTTTGGCTCCCTAGTTCCAGGCGGTATTAGCGAAGATACATCTACAATTGACGTCGCTTCGTTGAAGGCGCTTGGGGATAAAACAATGAAGGCTTTCAAGCTCAATAGCTGAGAATCTTACTTCAGGATAGGCATAGATGCTAGTGTATGATATCGAGTTATCTACGGCAGCACTTCACGCAACAAGGTTCTTTTTACATTCCTCAATCTGGCTCCCCTAAGTAATACTATTCCAATTTATCGGTACTTGAGAGAGATACATAATCTGATTCTATTTAGTCTGAGTAATTGTTGTATTTTAACATTCGCAGAATATTCTGCTATGAAATCATGTACCCCATGGCAAAATTGGGTATGCTCAAACCTGAAGCACCGTCCAACTCCCGGGCTTTCGTATCCTTCTACGAATTGCGTCTGACCTGCTCAAATCAATAATCAGAGAATTATCGTATCGGACATGTTTCATCGGGTCGTTTGATCCCTACAGTTCCATGATACTATCCCTCGTTGATACCTATTTTACTAGTAGCTTGACTCGGGACTGAAGTGATACGGACTGCAAGGTTTTCTGGCAAGCACGCCAGTGAGTCATGAGATTAATTATATATCATATACAGATTCAAGCTGGGCTATATTTATGAGTCAGTCAATGAGGAAAGATTGAATTACAGGACTGTACAACGGAGGCTCAGTCTACCTGCTATGTACTAGTTTATCGATAGCGTCGCAACTATGAGCTGTCCATGCACAACCAGGGGAATATGAAAGTAAAATATTCGGGGAGTGTATACAGATATAACGTTTATGTATGCGAACGATATGTGACTGGTACAATATTCTTTAGTTCAACGTTCGTTCAGCAAAAGACGAAAGATAAAAATCATAACTCGACTCGCTATCTACAGTAGATGCAAAAGCGAATCAATATCGACAAGAACATACTAAGACAGCAAGCGATAGCGACACCGAAAAGTGGTTAAGAAGAGAGACCAGAAGAGAGGATGGATGAGGGCAAGATCGTGCCACAGTTAAGGCTTGTAATCCGCAAAATAAGGGTGAATCAAAGCGCGCTTTGCTGGAAAGGAGGGAACTGGTTAGCAAAATGGCCGTCGAGCAACGGAGAATTTCTTGCCAGAAATGCGCTTTGCAGAGTCATAGATCAGTGTTTGCTATATCATGGGTTGGAAGGGATCAGGATAGAGGAGAGTGCGGAATAAGAAACGCACCTTCAGCATATCAATTCCAGCCTCATCCAACACTGGCACAACTCCCAAGAGATCTTTCGTTGACCATTGCGGGAACGTAGCTTTGTAGTCCGGAAGTGAAGATACTCCAGGCCAGATCTGCTCGTTAGGTGTGCCCATGATTCTGGCCAAAAGTATGCATTTGAATCAAAGTAAATCCAGAAGTTTGACCACTAACTTGAAAATCTTGAAAATCTGGTCAATTTCAGAATCACCAGGGAACAACGGGTGTCCTTGCAAAGCCATCTCAGCAAATATACATCCTACTGACCACATATCGACAGCAGTAGAGTAGTGGCGTCCGCCTAGCAACACCTCGGGAGCACGATACCATAACGTGACGATCTTGAGGTCGGAAACAAAATGAGTAACAAACTGATGATGAGAGTCTCGAACCGTACTTCATGTGTGTAGGTTCTCATGGGAATCCCGAACGCACGAGCAAGGCCGAAGTCGGCGAGCTTTAGGTTATCATCTTTATTGATCAAGAGGTTTTGAGGTTTAAGATCGCGGTGAAGGATGCGGTGAGAGTGACAATACAAGAGGCCAGCATTTAGTTGCCAGAGAAATTTCTATTCATCGGAACGTGAGTAGAAGATAACATCAGGATGAAAGGACACGTGATGGAAACCACGAAAAAGAACTGAAAGGCGTTGCGAGAGTATCTGGTTCGATGTACTTAGTAGCAGCCATCGTGCACAAGGAGAGTTTGTCGCAGAAATGCGGGGGGCGCTGAAACGAAGAGAATCACCGATGCAACAAGACGCCTGTTGCAGGCTGTCTGTCACAATTCCGGTGCAACCTCACGCGTCAAACGCGTGGAAATACGCGCAACGTAGCGGGAAGAACCGGCATAAGACCAGATATAGTTTGTTGATTGAAGAGGGAGTAGATGGCAGCAGTTCTATGAAGAACGCCAAGCTCACCTTGACAATCTTGGGCGTAATAGGAGTGCGGTTTTGATTTCCGTTGTCGATGTATCGTTTAAGATCCACATCCAGAAATTCGAAAACTAGGTATAGTTTCTGTTCGACATGAATAATGTCGAGCAGCCTAGATGAGAACGGGGAATGAGCAAAACTGTCACGAGAGTGCCAATAGATTTCGCACCTGACGACGTGGTCGTCATTGAGTTCCTTCAACAAACTGATCTCACGAATGGCGGTGCTGGGCACCCCTTCGTCTTCTGCCTCGAGTCTGATCTTCTTCAAAGCGACGATTTGGTTGGTACCGTTGTCTTTGGCTTTGTATACAACGCCATATGTTCCTAGCGACAAGTGAGGAAAATGCTTGCTCAAAGCCAGTAATGACAACACACCCTCGCCTGTGTATCCGAAACAGAAATCATGGGCGTCATTAATGTGTATCTCAAAAGCTCGTCACTGTTACGCACCAACTTTTTCGATTTTCGTATAACTAGGGATACCATGAATTAGCAATTGAACGTACGGACTACAGCAGATTAAACTGACCGATCCATATGACAGCTATTAGAGAATTGATAGTCACTTTGTTGGAAAAGGTTTTGAGCGACGTGGGTGAAAAATCTATGCAATGATAGGAGGTAAGTATTCCTGACGGCGAGTTAGAGCCGTCAACGAGACAATGGTTGAGATGAAAGAAGATCCAAAAGGCGGTGAAAACAAATAAACGAAAATCGGAGACGATGGTAGTTGAGGACCAAACTGAATCTTTTATAAGAAACCTCAAAGATACAGATCATGTGTGACAGAATTCAGGTGCACATATTTGCCGATGAGCAGCTATCATCTACTGCAGGCTACACCACCTAGTATATTATCCATGTGTGTTCCGGAATAATTTCTACATTCTGTAAGTACGGCATAACATACATAGAGGGCGATTATAAGAACAACAACACGACCTCGGTCTGATTACAGAACCGAAAAAGGTCTAATGAGGGCAAGTTACGAAAGCTGGATGGCATTCCCATTGTCGGTATTTTTGCGCGTCTTTCCACTTTGATCGTTGTCTCCATGACGCGCTGCCGCTGCAAAGTAACACAAATCCTGCCAACCGGATATGAACCTGTGAGATAATTTGATATCCATTATCCGGGTCTTGGCCAATGGATGCCTTCATCTCCATGTCGCTGAGCCCGAGTAACATCAATGTACTCCCCTGGCCAACGCTCTTCACCTAAAAGAAGACTTGTCATCAGCGCTCACGCTGAAGAAACATCAAGGACGGCATACTTCTATCGATGATATTGACGTCGACATCCTCATCTTCACCCTCCTCGTTCTCCTCTTCAGGATCCCATCGATCTTGCGCCGCCGCCTCAGGATGTTGGGCTCTGTCAACCTCTAGGTCTTTCATCATCCTATCCATTGAATCTGCTTTAGCGTCCTGAAGCGCCTTTTCCCGAGTGGCACGAGCGCGTTCAAGATCAGGTACGTATTGTCTATGGAACGTAGGGACGTTAAACCGAAAAGAGGGTGATAAAAGTGAATCTAAATGAGAACACATACGTTTCATACTCCTCTCTAGAAGCTTCGACTGCATCAAAAAACTCTTTGATCCCGTCTCCCGTCACGCTGGACACACCGACAGCCTAAACGTCGTTAATCAGAATACACTGGATTGAGCCTTGAGCGAGAACGACAAACCTTGAGATGTTTGTAGAATTCATCTAGAACAAGACTCATGCTGTTCATTAGACTGTTCATGTACGTAGGTTCGCCTTCAGCATCCCGCGTGCCACCATGCGTAGCTAATGCCTCTTGAAACGCTTCGAAGTCGTGCATCCACTCCAGTGCAAAATCATGCGGCTGGACGTCAGTTTTGTTGAAGACTAATATAAAGGGTAACTTTGTTTTGTACAAGATACTGCAAGTCGCGAAGATGAGTGGCGCTGTACGACAAGAGTGAAGCAAGAACGATGGCTCTACCTGCAGGCATACAGCATATTTGACATAAAGGTAGCGGGGGCTGAGGCACGAGGTGTATCGATGATGTACGCGACCACAGTTGGAAGAGAAGAAGCGACAGCATCAGTAATGATAGCTCCAGAAGCAGACCAGGTAAAGATTTCGATTTGGCCTGGTGTGTCTAGTATCACGTAGCTGGTACAGGAAAACTTTAGTCCAGGAAACTCGTGAAGAATTTAGAGGAAGCTGGACTGACTCGATTGAATCCGAACGCTTCTCCACCAGCGATAGAACCTGATCGAACTTAGTAGTGAACAGATTGAGGGCCGTTAAGATTCCTCCGTTAGGACCGAGATTATACCTTGAATGCTGATTGATCACGATGAGGGAAAGATACAGGTGGTCTTTACACACTGCTTCATGACCTCTTTGTAATTGACAGTATCTCGGATGTCGATGTTCGCCTCGAAAGGCAAAAAGGCCACCGCTGGATCCAGGTTCAACACATACGGAGGTGAGTCCTTTGAGTGAAGATATGAATTTATCCTCTGGACAAAGGTAGATTTCCCTGCTCCAGCCATGCCAATCGTGATAATCGCCATTGCCTTCTTCTTTGTCGGCGCATCGGAGGTGGACGACATGACTCTGGTGGATGAAAAACCAAAATGATTACTAAATCATTCTGACACGATCCTTCAAAACACATGTTATTAGGGTACCGATCCCTTCTTCGTTATCTTCTGTGATCATTGCCCCTCGATTATTCAAAGATGGCTGCTGAAAGACTGTAAGTAGCGCTTTAAGTATTCCCCCAATTCCAGCGATATAAATGTGGCCCGTAGGCGAGCTAAATTGCTCCAGAACGCTAATCTCTTTCCCGATCCCTTGGGTAACAATGTAATTGAAGGGCTCGTTGTCGGAACAGTTTTCAAAACCCGGTAAGCTCCATTTATCATTGTCGTGGATTTCTCTTGGTAAAAGAAGATTACAGGGATGAACTACAGAAGAAAAAGATTCATGTTCAGCGTTTTGCTGGTATCAGCGGCACAAAGGAATTAGGTGCACAATCTGTGGTCCTTTCAGGGCAGTACGAGGACGATGGGGACAAAGGGGATGTCATGTACGCTTGAATGGTTACTTTCTTCTACCTAAGATCTTGTCAACACACTTTAGCATATACACTGGCACGGGTGAGTAATACAGAGTAATCTTTATATTTCATTTCATCGATAATCAAACAGGTGGACAAAGGAATTCTTATAGGGTGAGCTTCATTTCTTCGATTCTCTCTATCCCACCCATAAGTCATGCTGTCATAGAATCCCGGCCCCCAGATTGAAGACCAATCTTTTGACCACCCAATGAACCAACATCTATATGTACGTCCTCTCAACCCTGCCAACGTCCCTCGGATTTCCCTTACCACTATTGTCATGCTTTCAGAAGTCTTTCCAAAACAGACGACCAATCCGTGTCATACGCGGATCTGCTGCCAATTCTAAGTATGCTCCTGTCGAAGGCTATCGCTATGATGGAATGTACACAATCACTGAGGTATGTGCAGCACGCTGAATAATCTTCCTGACATGCTCACTACCCAGATTAGGCCTACATGGACAAAGGTCAGAGTGGTTATGCTGTTTGCAAGTTCAAATTGGAGGTGAGAATCCCTTTACGGTATCTCTAATGCTGCGTTCTGAGACACTACAGCGAAACCCTGGACAAACACCTATTCCAATCAGACAGTGATGACATTGTTCATATTCTGTCTGATATCCTCTTCCCCCTTATGCATCTGAAGCCTCCCATCATCATAACACTTGTTTGCCACCCATGATATCCTTAAGGACATCTCTACATTCTTCGATTGGCCTCCTACTTAGTGGGAACCACCGTATCTTCGTTTGTACTAATTTATCTTACAAGTGTTTTATATTTCTTTGACGATCGAATCAAGAAAGCTCGCGATCGGTACAGGTTCATCTATGTATGTCACAACCCACAAAAAATTCAAGTGTTAACAGGTAACAAGAAAGTAATCATTCATTCCCATTTCTGCACCACCACACTGTTCTTCAATCCAGCTTGTTCAATGGTAGCATTAAAATCGTCAAGTGTACGATTGGGAAATGTAGTTCCAATACTATATGGGCGCGTAAGGTTTTCTGGACGAGAGCTACAGAATCATCATGGGCTCTGAGATCGTGTCAAAAGGAACGATATTGAGCACTCACGCGTTGATGAAGTTCCTGAGGTCAAGCACCGTGTGCGTCAAATTCATTCGACAAACAATCCTAATTACATAAGAAATCAGCAAGAAAAGCAAGGAGTTGAAGAACAGAACATAATGGACCTTGTCCCGTCTGCCAACCTGATTTGAACGCTGGTCATTGGCTTGCTTTGGTCTACTTCAAATTTGGTGTTTACGCGGTTAGGTTCCGCCCTTGGTGACGCAGACGAAGAGGGGGGGTCGGCAAATGTCCCAGGCATAATTGATCCGCCACTACTCGCCCCGGCTCCGGAAAATTCGGGCACAGGAGCGCCTAATCGATGACCAGCACCAAAAAAAGCCGCCGGCTTGGGGGGAACAAAATCCTCATTCGTGCGCTTCGCCACACGTAGTTCCACAGGTTCTCCTGGACTAACATTCAATAAGGAGGGAGGAGCACGACTAGATAGAAAATGGAAGTAATGAGTTGACAGAGATCGGCGAAAATATGATTCTCTTACCCCGAATGAATTTCAGCAAGTATAGATTCATTAGCTGGATCATCGTAACGCATCAATGGTCCGTCCTCCACAGCGAATCCGTCTCTCCAGAATGTAAGATGACGGATAGTGGGTTCTACTGTTAGCAATCCATGAGCACTCGGGTTAAATCGTCATAAATCAAAGCTTACCTCGATGTTGGCTAGGATCAGGGACATAGGAGCTTTCGACTTCATCGCTCCCTAGCCTATGTCCCCCTCCAGCGAAACTCGATGAGGCCTCCTCTACAGGAGCCGGAACACCTCCTCTATGAAATTTCAGTCAGAAGATAGTTATTTTATACGGTAGGTAACAAGAACGTACTCGGCAGCGCGTCGTAGTAGATCTCTGACCATATTTCCTCCAGGTATTGTATCTCTTTCTCCTCTTCCGCCTGGCCTGTCTGGATTTTGTACTGAGATGCCACTGTTTGGTATCACGAATCAGACGAGCTAATTTTTTCTGAGACCACAAAAGAGAGCAACGGACGTACCTACGCTCACCACCCGCAAACCAGCTTTCTCCCTCCCCATCATTGTCTTCATCATCAGAATCATCCCCACCATGGCCAGCGCCTGGGACATTGCCTCCTTGTCCTGCTGGTGCTGGTGCACTGGTACCAGTAAGCTCCCTCAGAGTACTAATTCGTGATCCTCTCCCCCCGCTAGATCGCCCCGAAGAGCTGCCATATACGATGAGAACAAGTCACAAAGTTACAAGGAACGCACCCAGAAGAGCCGGATATATCGCCAATTCGGGCAATCCTTCGTGATGAGCCTGATTGGCCCCATCCGGTCGGCAAAGGCTCATTTGCGCCGCCGCCAATAGACCTTCCACCATTAGAGTTATCGGACATGTTCAGAAGACAGACAAGAACGTCCTGGAGGGTTAAAGCTACGCGTAATGCTAATGAGAGACGCTATTCTCACGGGCATGTGCTTTTGAAAAATAAGTCGTTCTATTCTGCCGAATTCAAGCCCGGCACTTAAATCAATTACTTGCCAGCTAACTGCAAGATAGGCGTCGCAGAAAAAAAGGCTAGATACATATGGAGTCCAAGTTTTCGAAAATTGGAAACTATGTATGTAGTGTGACATACGATGAAGTGACTCTTCCTTGTTTTGGCTCTTCCTTACTGTCGATCTGTTGTCAAAGGTTGTCAACGCAAGGAGACTTCCAAATTCAAAGATTCTCCTGCTAGTATGTGTGACATGGTATCGAAATAAACAGCTTATGATACAGACGGTACAGCCCAAAGTCCTTGTTGTTAAATGGTGATCTAGAATTATAATATCCAATGCAATCATCCAATGCATCCCAATAGGTCCTAATGTGCCTCTCTAGCAATACGCACCCACAGCCCGCCCTATTTGTATGTCAGATTACCAGTAGGACTAGCCCAGGGACTAAGACTAACCTTGACAAACAACGTCAGTGCAGCCGCCGGCCAAATCTTTTCTTCAACTTGTCTTCCCTTTCTACGTTTCCATTCAAGCGGAGGTAAGGATCCGCTAGGCTGAGCCTCTGGCGCAAGGCTAAATGTGTCGAATTGCTGTAGAAGTCGAACCAGAAAGAACGAAGCTTCGTTGTAGGCATAGTTTTGGCCTAAGCACTAGCGACAAGAAAGATTTTTGTAAGCCCATGCTTGTGGATTTCAGATAGCAGAGTCACTTACGATCCTGGGTCCCGCACTGAACGGAGTGAACATCATTGGATTAGCCACAAAGCGAGAAAGTCTTTCTCCTTCCAGCCATCTGTCAGGATCAAACACGTCCGCATCAGAGCCCCATAAGATTTTATTCCGTTGAGTGAGTAACGGGAGGAAGGTGATCGCTGTTGAGCCTGGCATATGCAGAGGGCGGGGATCGTCAGCCATCACATCTGCATCGCAACTAGCTCTGTAAGTAGAATCTGAAGGGGAAAGGGTACAACCTCCCGCACGACTTTCACGGACGTTCAGTGGCACAGGAGGGTAGAGACGTAGAGTTTCGTTGATCACGGCACGCACTGTGAGATGTGATTATTCTCGGAACGAAACTAATATTGGAAAAAACACACTATATTTGAGGTTTCTGAGTTGCTCGTAGGTGACTGAGCCAGAAGTACCACAATGTTCCAGCACCTCCGACCTAAGCCTTTTCGTTATTTCCGGATAAATAGCCATAAAATAAGTGACATATGTCAAGAGACATGCAGTCTGAATTTCAACAGAGTCGATTAGTGTCTGGACAGTGGGGAGGCCTAACACAAATAAATGTCATCACTAACCGTATCCCTAGCCGCTAAGAGTAAGCTCAGGAGTTGATCACGAATGATAATTGGGTCTATTCGGGAGAGGTCAGTATTGAAAGTAAGTAAATAGAATCATGGAATGAACGCACCATCGGTACTTTCGGCAAGATGCTGCAAAAAATTCTTTTCTGTCACCGGACTACATATTCCCGCTTTCTCCATTTTCTCCTTTTCACTTAACGCACTCTTCACTAGAGGATCAAGCCACCGATGGACCACCTCTGCGTTCGGAGCATTTTTATCCCGAAATAACTCAAACAAAGGCCAGAAATATCCTACACGGCTTCGTGCTGTGATAACTTGCTGTGCCATCTCAAACGCACTAGCAAAAGACCCCCAGGGATCTTCGGTTGCTGATCCTTTCGGACCCATCTTAGTCTTTCCTGCGACAGGCAGTGTCGCAGAGAGTGTATCAAGGTTCTGGCCGAAGAGGAATTCTGAAGCAGCATCCAGTGCGAATCGCGAGTATAAATCCTGTACATCGATCGGAGTCCGAGAATGGCTTGAAGTTGCTGATATGATGTTCAAAGTCTGAGCTGTATATCTCTCGAAGATATCAAAATCCGAAATCCTTTCTCGAGCGAAGAAAGGGCGAGTATTTCCACGATGCTAATATTTTGGGTAACAACGTCTGAAAACGCGGAACAGTAACGGGTGTCATGAGACTTACCATACGCCACATCTAGAATGAGATCTATCAGTGCACTGTACGATGAATAAATTGAATTGGTATATATCACCTCATCATCTCTATTAAAAATGCCCTGCCCTAGAAATCGTTCCCTAGTTCAATCATCAGTTCGAAACAGATAGAATTCGCGGATAGAGAATGTACCCACATTCGCTCTTTCTGCCATCTTCCTCTCCAAAAATGTTCGAATCCAGTCGATAAAATAAATTTGATATGTTCTTGGTCCATAGAAATGATCTATGTAGACGTGAGGTATGAGTCAAATGGACTACATACAAAACAATTTACTTACATGATCAGTCCAAAGAATTCGCGTGTTTAACGTAGTACACTGATATTCTTCGAAAAGTTGAAGGTACACATCAAGAATATAGCTCGTCTTGAATGCCCGTAACATCTTTACTAGAACATCAATATTTCCCGGCCAAGCCCCTTTCACGCACGGAATTTCCTTCGCGCCTAGTCTGCGTCGTTCCGCACGTTGGAGGACCTTCGTGAAGATGCTTTTGAATATTGACCAGGAGATGATGAACGCAAAGTATAGGGTGGGTGCAGTTAATAAGCCTAAATGCACCTTGACCAAGTGTGTGGTAATGAAATAGAACACAGCAGAAGGGAGGGCGAGAATCCTCAAGAAATCGAGCGATAGCCGCATGCGATAGTTGGAGGGGTGCATTTTAAGTTTGGCTCCCAGAAATGGGTTGAATCGTCCAGATGTGTGTGGGGGGACTGTTCTACTTATATAGCGGTTAAGAATATTTCCATCGGATTAAGTACGTAGAAGATTGTCTTGATGAGCATGTATGGAAACGCTCGTAATAGGATGTGCCTGCAAAATCCCACTCCCGTCTCCCGAGACCAGCCCGAGACGGACCTGTTGCAGAGATATCCAACAAGTGACAGCGCGAAATGCACTCGATCACCTTGGTACATTGATCAAGATACTGAATGATATTCTTCGTCGCGAGGCTTGCGAAATTCTTGTGTCATTTTCCCTACCTTCGTAGTGGATAAACAGGGGAAAATATCGGTCGTTATGAAGGCCCGACACGACCCAAGGTTTCGTGTGCTTGATTAACATACACAGACTTAATGGGAAAGGTCAGAGGCAGAGTGGATTAAAGGGGAAAAGCAGCTGGAAAGCCGGACAAGATCACACTGGATACCACAAGTCCCACAAAGGCCTAGCGCCGGAGACTGGAAACTTGGAGGGCGCCTCGCCAGTCCCTATCAGATCTCGGAAGGACAGGGGTGTTGGCAACTGTTGGCCATTGAAGCAACTGCAAATAGCGTATGATAGGTGAGATCCGGGCTTTAAGCAAGTGTGAAGGAACCTCCGTAAGGCAGATTGTAAAATTCACACTCGGTGTACGGTAGATGCGAGCGCCGAATGTTCCCAATCGGAATTCTGTCGGGTGTCGCTGACGTCGTAAAGGGCGTCAGTGTGAATGAAAGATCGCGAGGTACTGAAGGCGCCGGATGGTATCGCTCCCCGAAAAAAAAAAAAGATCCTCATGAAGAATGGAAGGGCACACCGAAGCACCGATATATTCACCTATTGACAAATAATTTATAATTTTACTCGTACACTAAGCCCACTGAAGAAAATGACCTCAGCATAACTGCGGTACAATTAACCATCAACCAGTTACGCACAATTCGTTCTTCCCGTATATCTCCCGGTCTCCCCATTATCACCTTCGCACATTCGAATCAAGCGCGGCTAGCTGATCAACCAGATCCTCCATCACGGACTTGGTATGTCTATGACCTTCACCGGCGTTACTTGGACTACCATCCAGGCTAGCATCTGGTGTAATCGAGAGTGGAGCAGAAGTAGCCCTGGTTGGAATAAGGACAGATCCTCTCGGCTCAAAACCCGGCGCAATCTTCCGCAAAGCCTCACGTTTCCTCTGTTCCTTTTCATTTTCCCGCGAACGTAGGTAAGCATCGCGTCTGGCTTGATGAGCAGAAATTGTTGAGCGTCGAGAGGATTCCAGAGTGAGAACGTGAGGCTCGAGTGTGAAAGGGTACACAAACTGAATAATAACGCTTGAGAAAGATATTCCGATTAACTGGTATGATCGTACATAGGGTGTTACTGAGTCTGGCAGAGGATGTATATCTTCAGGAAGTTCCACCCGAGGAGGAACTCGAAGACTGGGTGATTTGATGAGCGGAACATGGGTAGCTGCTGCATACGGCGCTTGAGACAGAGAATATCAGATTTCTTGGACGCACGAAATGTAAAGCACTCACAGACATTTGTCTTCACGCATATTCATCATGGGGATCGAGGGACAAGATAATTCTGGGCGCTTCGTCAAGCGCCTGTCGTGCTTCAATTCTAACCACTATGGCTTTTTCCCTATCACAAAACTTAATCCAATTATCTCTACCAATTTCTCAAGGTGCTGAAGCTGCAAGTCGTCTCCGATAATATCTTATCACAACCTAATTCGACGATAGAAAGTCTACAAAGCCCAGTTAAACCCAGACTCCCCACCAATACTATTGAAATATCGTTTCCAAAAGAATTACAGGCACCCAACCCTGGATGCCAATCTTACTCGTTCTCGCATTGCGGGAGAAGCGAGAGCGCTTCTAAAATGCTTGCGGTATGTTTGTCGTTCATTCGAAAAAGAAAATTAAGGCTGATTAGTCAAGATGACTGGTTTAGTTCAAGCGTCAATGTTCCTGGAATACGGATGGTAGATGCAGCCGAGGGTGTACTCGGGATTGAGTGGATTGAGGGCCAGAGCGTCAGGAAATTACTTCCTGGAGGTGCCGAGGACGACGGGCCCGATAATGTCGAAAGCCCTGATGTGGAGGACTTAGATCCTTTGACAGAGTATGGCGTATCCGTCGGTACGTCGGTAAAACCATTTTGCTTGTATCTTTTTCTGACCGACCGATCGACTCACTCAGACGAAGTGATGAACCTCATCGGTAATGAAATTGCTAAAATGCATCGTGTTGATGTTATTCATGGAGATCTAACAACATCCAACATGATGCTGCGGCATCCCAAGTCTTTCGTACCATTCAATCCTAACATCACGACGGAATTGGTGCGATTCATGCTCCTCGCTCTCTCCGCAATCGTTCGGACTAAGCTCACTCAATGAATAGGTTCTTATAGACTTTGGACTTTCATATCAATCCACTCTAACCGAAGACAAAGCCGTCGATCTCTACGTCCTCGAACGAGCGTTTTCGTCTACTCATCCGGACTCCGAACCGATGTTTGCGAAGGTGTTGACTGCGTATGCTGAGACGATAGGAAAGGATTGGGTTGCGATCAAGAATAGGTTGGATGATGGTCGGTTTATCTACTTGACAAAATTTGTATTAGACGCTGACTTTTTTCCGATGTTCAGTTCGTCTCCGTGGACGAAAACGCAGCATGGTAGGATAAGTGATGTAGTATAATAGAAGTTCGTCCAAAATTAATCCCTCTTCCATCACTGGTTTTATCCTCAACGCTGTTACGTGGGATGCCTCATGAGTGCCTTATTGTAGTTTGGACTACACTACTAGAGTGGCCCTGTACATAGCGGCGTACTGGATAGGATAGGATAGGATATAAATTATACTGGCGAGGTCCGTTGCTCGAACAACCAGTTTACCATACTACTGTACATTTACATATGCGTCTATGTCTCCTGTACAGCTATGGAACACACACTCTTATTATGGGGGTCGTAATGTATGCTTGAAGTTATCCTGCCCTCCCTTGGCATTAACAATACACCCTTTCCCAGTTCAGTAGTGCATGCTGAATTATGTTGAATAGACAATTTCTGTGGCATAAAATATTCCCAATACCTCATGTGCAAACTTTGCAAACAACTCTATCACTTTCTTCTCTGCCAGAAGTGCCCTAAACAATACCCATGAATCTGAGTAAAACGTGGCATACTGTGGAAGCTCTGAAGTCACTTTGCACATGAAGCAATTTCTCTGCATTATCAGGTCCGCATTTGCCATGCATTCAAACAGTGCATGTGGAGGGTCTTCCACTTTCTCCCGGCAGAATCGACACAATCTTCTTTCCCTTGGAAGTGATGGCTTGTTCCGCTCATTCCATCTCAACCTTTCCACAGCCAATTGGTGATGACCCAATACCATTTGAATTAAATCTTTCCTGTGGCTTGCAGTTCTAACTCGAAGGTAATGCCGAAATGTCATTGCTTGGAAAACCATTTTCTTTTGCTTCTTGTCATATTCCATTCTATCCTTCAGTGAGTCTTCTGTCCTTGGGCTATTCATGATGGCATTCTGTAATGCTGTCTGCATCGATCTCTCCAACCTTTTGAGCAAGTCTTCGACATGTTTGATATTGAGATTCTCAAATGTTGGTACATTCCAGATGACTGGTATTGGCAGCTTGTCTAATGCAAAACATGTCTCCATGATGAATGAGCTTTGTCCGTTTCTTGCCAATTCATAGGCTTCTCGAAATGCTTTCCATGCATAGTGCTCGTGTGGCAGGTCAATAAGATATTGCATGTTTTTCAGTAACAGTGAAATTCTTCGATATTTGACAGGCCATAGTCCGGTTTCTGTGAACAGCACTGCCAAGGCCGAGTGTTTTTGCAGGGATAGCATTCTGCGGAGGAAATAGTGCTGTACATCTTCCAATTTTTTCCAATTAGTCTGTACTGTGTCCACACTGATCTGCAAAACCTGTATGTTCGGCTAAATAGCCGAAAGCAGCTCAGAGCACTTGGGAGCACTTCCCAGCAGCGAAAGCACCCAGAGCAGGCTTTGATTTTTGCTTTGGGTGCTTTCATCGCTGGAGAGCGCTCTCCAGCTAGTATCCTTGCTCTGGCGAGTATACTGGCAATGAATTCAGCACCATTCATTAGATATGGGTCTACACGTCCAATGTATAGTTGTCTCAAATCCCATAGAGGAATGTCTTTGCCAACAAATGTTTTTGCATGTAGAACAGCACCTGCAACATTCTTTGCCTTCTTTGCATATGTCTCATAGTGGACATTATACATGCTACCCCGTCCTGTTTGATGGTGGACACCAATGTACTTCATCTCAGTTTTCTTCTGTAGCTCTTTTCCATGAAGCAAAAAGGTAGTGGTTGGTTCAGTGTCCTTCCCAAATACAGCTATCATACATTTCGGGATTGACACCTCAAATCCAGTCCTTGCAGCATAATCTTCAAACTGCCTCAATTTTGATTGCAGGCTTGAGGCTGAAGTTGTTCCCATCCCAATATCATCTGCTTGCATTAGGGTGTTAATCTGTTGATCATGGAGAACCACATCGGATGGGTGTTCTGCTACTTTGAAATCTGCAACAGCAAGATTGAACAAATGTGGAGAACCTGGATTTCCTGTCAAAACACCAATGTCACCTCCAAAAGGCTGGGAGTGGGAGCCACACTGGCATACTCGGACCACATATCTCATCTTGTCATATAGCATACGCAGCCAATCAATCATCGGTCCTTTCACCCCCATAGCTGATAATTTGATCCACAACATTGATCTATTTGTAGAAGGAAAAGCATTTGTCCAATCCATATATGCAAAATACAGTGTTTTATGCTGGGACTTGGCTTTGTCAACTATTGTCCGCAAGATCAGAGGATTGTTGGTAGTCCGATATGTTGGCCGGAAACCATTCTGTGCATGAGGTAATAACTTCTCTTTTTCACTATACAGCCGTATTCTTCTATCAATGATATATGTCAATAATTTTGAAAAGCAGCATTCAAGAACTATCAGCCTGTAACCTTTTGGATCTGTTGCCTCTTTTCCTGGTTTCAGAATCCCTATGATTATAGACAACAGCCAATGTGAAGGAGCTGTCTTGTGCTGAATACAGTGATTTAACAATTTAGCCACATTTTCGTTTGGAATATCAATAATTTGACGGTAGGCAATGTTATCTGATCCCAATGCACTGTTCATATTATTCTCAAATACATGCAGTTTTGCTTCTGCCACTTCCTCTTCATCAATATCCAGACTGAAGAATTTCCTTTCAGTGTGATCTATGTTATTCTCTGGAATCATTGCTGCTAAATGCTTCAAAAGTGATAGGTGCGGTTGATTCAAAGTGGGAGCTGGATTAGCTGAGGCAAACATCCTGTCTTTGAATTCAATAAAGAGTTGTTCCAATGATAATTCAAAATCTTTTGCTTTCGGGTCTAACCATGATTTGTACAACTTCCAGAATTCAAATGGGGATTTGCAGTTACGCAGAGTAGTCAAGTTTTTTTGGCGGATAAGAGCCACTTTGGACCGTCCTCGATGTGCATTGGGCTCAATTTGAAGTGTAACTGGTGGATCCTCCAGTTTGTGTGGCTCCAAATGTTCTGGTAGCTCTGTAAATACCTTCGTTATTTTCGGAAGGGCAGCCAGTCCTATTGTCTCACATTCCCATGGAAGATCAACTAGTGGATGGTATTATTCAACAGCTGTTGTCATTTGTGCAGCTTCCTTTGCTAGTGCATCAGCTTTATCATTACATCTGCAAAACATGTATACTCGCCAGAGCAAGGATACTAGCTGGAGAGCGCTCTCCAGCAACAAAAGCACCCAAAGCAAAAATCAAAGCCTGCTCTGGGTGCTTTCGCTGCTGGGAAGTGCTCCCAAGTGCTCTGAGCAGATCCCCGCAGATCCCAGTGCTGAAAGCACCGAAAGCAACATGCTCTGGGTGCTTTCACTGCTGGGAAGTGCTCTCAACCGCTTTCGGACCCTTAGCCGAAGATACAGGTTTTGCAGATGCAGATGCTGAGAGGATTGCCACTGTGTCCTTTGACCCATACAAAAGTGGTTGAAGCTAGGCGATGCTTAAGAAGAGAACACATATCCTTGAGTAAATCACCATTTGGGATTTTCCACCCCATTGAGAGGTGCTTGCCTGCATAGAAACAGCACTCCTTTATCACATATGTGGAGTCTGTGTAGATCACTAAAGTCCTCCTTGGGTCAATCTCCATCAAAACTAACAAAACTGCATAAGCCTCTCCTCGATTATTTGTGGGCTTTCCAGGCCCCGGAACCCGCCGACTCATATTCTTGTGAGATTCTATACCATAACATACTCCGGAGCCAGCAACAGCAAATTCTTCCCCATTATCCAAACATGATCCATCTGTATAAACTGATATTGGATTGGTATGATAATACACTGAACCATAAAATTCTGCCAGAGCTTTGCTGGGTTCCTTTGCACTTTTCAATGTCTGCTGGTACAAATGGTCGATTTCCAGGTGATGTATTGGAATATCAAGAGGAATTTTTGGAGGAGTATCTTTACAAACTCTTTGTGGTATTACCACGGAGGAGACTTCCATGGTCAACATTGAATGATCAGACCACCTGTCCTCTGGTCTTTGTGGGTTTGTCTGTACACACATTCTCTTGATGTGGTGTTGTGCTCCTGCTGATACCAGAAATAGATCTACAACTGCTTTCCCATTATGCTGATGTGAAGTGAATGAGCCACGATTTGGGCTCTCAAGTGATGTTCCATTTATTATCATCAGATTTAGTTCTGCACATAGTTGGAGTAGTCTTCGACCTCTTGCATTTATTCCTCCATCCTGTGATTGCCTTTGCAAGTGTGCTTCAAATGGTTTTTCAGATGCTATCCTCGAATTGGTATCTGCAGCAACAAGAAGTTTTTTAGTTGAATTAGTTATGCTCCGGAGCATAGGCGAGCTGTTTCATAGAGCTTTTCCTCTGGTGGTACATCTGTGAAGTTCATGTATCTTGAGTGATCCGGCAGTATATAACCATTCACAATCCATAACCTGCTTAGATCCAAGACTAATATATCTGGTGATGACAACATTGACTTTGAGACATCGATATCATTTCACACAAAAGCACAAACACCTCCATGCTGGTGTTCCCATTTCTCTACAGTTCTCCGTGACACTGCAAAGAATTTGTAGCCTTCAAGCTTGACCATAATGTCTTCCTGTTCTGGGCACAGATGAGTCTCTTGTAAGAGAATAATATCATATTGAGCCAGTATCTTCCGAAACTTGGGGCTGAGCATTTTGACAATCAGAGCACCATGCACATTCCAAGAAAGTATTGTAATTGTGTGATCTCGTTCTTCACGTACATGCATTACAGAATGAATTCGTTCGACATGTCCAAAATTGTCATTAACATACTCAGCCCTCATCAAAAATCCCCCCCACTTTGAATGTTGATACCCTTATAGACCCCGAGCTGCGACGACGGAAACTGATATATCCACTTCTCTACAAACTCATCGGCCTCCTGTCGATTACTGAATACCAAGACATAGACACCAGCGACAGTGCTTTCGCGCACATATGGGCAGTGTAGGGGTTGTACCACATCCTCAAAATACCGTCGCACTACTGCAGGGGCCCTCGCAGTGTAAAAATAGTCCGGGAAGGGGCCTATAGTAATCCTAAACCTTGCGTCCTGTACTGATTGGTGTTCGCTTGCCTTTTGACCTTTACGGGAGCGGGATTCCATTTCTGGGCTATGCCCTTGCTTCTCCTGGTACCTTGATGTCGATTGTGGAGGGATTGGCAGAGGCGGAAGCTGAGGTGATGAGCGCCGTCGTGAGAATGGTGGAAGCGAAGGTGGCGAGTGCTGCCTCGGTGATGGTGGAGGCATCAGACCTGAATGGCGGTGAGAAGGTGGTAACGGAGGCGGAGGCATCGTCCGCTGGTTGTGCGAATGGGATGCAGGTGATGATGACCGAGACCGAGAGTGGGTTGGATGAGAATAACTCCTTGACAAGTGGCGGTTTGGCGCGGTCTGCACAGGGGATGATGAGCGAGACGTATAAGGCTGGTGCTGATGGGACCCCAATTCAAGGGCCTGCAGTCGAGCGCGTAGACCATCATTATCTGCCAAAGCTGCTTCAAGCTTGGCCCACAGCTTCCTATTCTCCTCCCGAAGAGTGTCGTTGTGTGAGTTGATGGTGGTGGTGACCTTTTTGAAGGTGTCAGCTATCGAGGTTTTTCGGTCCACCCTCACCTCTTCACGTAGATCCGAGATCCCTTTGGATATGAGAGATCCTAACCTTGTAACCTCCTTCGTGGCATATGTGCGTACCTCCATAACATCCTTCGGCTTGGGCAGAGTTTTTGAAAAATCCTCATAAATTTCTACTTTGTCCTTAAGCCGACAAAGTTCCTTGTCCAAGGTTTTCTTCCAATCTACACCGTCCTTTAGCGAATGGACATTGCCTTCAAGTGACTTGATACGCATCCTAATATCACGTAGGAGAGACACAGTAGGCACTTTCGGGGAAGCTGATCCGTCCGAGATGACAGATTCATCTACGTGGGCACCCAATCCAGACACTTCCAGTGCATCTACACGCACTCTCAGCTCCCCAATTTCACCCTGAACCCTTTTTTTGTTCTTGCGTTGTATTTCTATCAGCTCTAATTGATGACCTCCCAGAGCAAGCGTGTTGCGGTTCAGAGCAGATGCCACGACAGCCATCGACCTCTTCTTCCCCAGTATTTGAACCTTCAATGCGTCAGCAATGGCAGCCTGATCATCCGGAAGACATTCTGATGAGGGTAGTGAGGGGTCATCGTCGTCGGAAAGGATGGACAAGGATGAGTTGTCGTTGGTCTGCAAGCGAGTGGAGGATCGACGGTTTAGCATCGGCTTCTTCTGAGGAGAGGTCACTTTCTCCTTTTCGATTGCCTTCTCTTTCCCTTTGAATGTCTCGGCCGTCGCATTTGCTTTAACCTTGTCTTTTGGTTTACTTTTTTCGGTGCTACCCTGTAGACTGTCCTTATCGCTTCGGTCATGTCCCTCGGGCTCCTCCGATGCGGTTTGGTGAGGAGATTTTGCCCGCAAATGGTCATTCGATGTACGATCTCCCAACGTCCAAGAGTTTGGGGATGATTGGTGTTCTGGTGAGGTTCCAGAGTTTTCAGAGTTACTGTTTTGCCTGAGCTCGGCTTCGCCCGTGGATGCATACATATTAAGAAAAGTAAGAGAGAGTTCAGATTATAAATGGGGTGTTAAGTTTCGAGGACGCGATTGCAAAAGTGAGCACGTAGTTCGGTAGCAAGCAGAGTTGTTTTTGGTTTTGAATCCCACGCCGTAACAAGATTCAGTCTGGCACCCGAATTGCCTCGCAGTTTTACATTCGAGCTCCAGCACGTACACTCCGTGTACAGTTTCTTGAGCACTACTTTGTTTTGTTAAAAATCCAGATCCAAGTCTTTCGAGAACACCGTTGAGGAGGCAAGAATCCAAGCCCTCCCGGGCACCCAGATGATTTTTCGCAAGCCACCAAGCTCTTACAAGCACAAAAGTCCAAGCTCTTCCTGAGCACACAGTCCAAGCTCTTTGTGAGCACTATGATCCCTTCCTGTATGTCCAGTTACCGAGCTCTCCAAGCACTCAGTCACGCAAGTCGAGTCCTACTATTCAAGTCCAGGCTATGAGGCACAGAATCCACCAAATCCAGGGGGTGATCGCTAATCACTCGTTGTCGAAGCGTACTATTTTGCCGTTTGTTGTTCTTATTGACAAGAATGGTTTTACTCTAACACCAGTATCGAAACCCGATATCTCTGTGCACCAGTAGATGTTCTACTGTGAGAGAATCAAAGGATGATGATGGTCACAGAAAGAGTCTTTTTTCTGGTACTGACCAGTGCCCACCGCTATTTCAATGGTTTATTAGACATGCTTCAAAGAGTCAACCGAAGAGTCTGGCTGAGCTCGTCACTTTCAACTTGGATAGTTGGAATATCATCGACAAAATATCCTGCCCTACAAACGAGACATTGCCGCCAATTTCATCAAATTCAATATGATGCACATAACGAGCACCTTGCTTCGACCATTGTCCGACAATTGTGCCGCTGCTATCATATGCAAGAATGGCCATTGCATACCTGTTGTCTATATAGCTAAGGGCTGCAGCAATTGAGATGGTTAATCAAACACCCACTATTGACATAGAGGGACAATCCTTACCCCAATAGGTGTATTGTCCCAAAATGAGAACAGGGTACTCTTTGCTGGAGTCAAGTTCGCCAAGATCTGAAAGGGATACATATTTGAGGTCATTGGGAGGAGGTGGCTGAGTAGACTGGTGGCAAGACGAGATCGCAGGTACTACGTCTTTGCAAAACTCCTTGAGTGAGCTTGAGCGCTTGTAATGTACTGATCAAAGGGCTGTCTGTCGAATTTCGAAATTTGCACAGATTGGAATGGTTGGCGTTGATTGCAGTCTTGCGCTCCCGGATTACACCTAGAGTAGCAGACCGCTCCTCCACAATCTGAGGATTAATCTATTAGATATTCCAGTTGACTGCCCAAAATCACAAATATTTCTCACCCATACTTGCGAAAAAATTCCAATTTTGGTCTTTTTGGTCTCAAATAGGGAAGCAATTTCTATTCCTTTGCTTGACACGAGTTGTCGAAAGTCGTCTGTAAGATCAAACAAAACCATAGATCTTGGATCTAGTGATTTGATAAGGTCGACTCGAACATCTATGTTGAATGCCCGAACAAAATTGGCTACGAATCTAGCTGTGTCGACACCATTACCACCTTGGTGAGGTGTCCCAAGAGAGACTATCCCTGACACAGAGTTTATTATTGAATTGTATCTTTTGTCAGCTCTGTTGTGCGCAATGATCAAAGCCTAATAAACAGTATGTACTAGTCATCAACTTGGATGATTTCGAATAAGACATACTTGTTTTATAATTAGGCCACCGATTGAATGTGCAATAATAATTAAAGGTCGAGCCTGTCATAAAGTACGCAGCCCCTATCATTTTCCTTTTCTCACCGTCTCGACGCCTTTACTTGTACGATACATCATCCCATCACTGTCAAACCCCCATCGATTACTGATCCATCGATTACTGATCCACCTGACCCATCTTCTCCTTCTATTGGCTTCCGCCACCTTCCTTGTTCCTAAACTGTACAGTATTACATCGTTGTTTCTCGCAGACCGGATTATGTATATATAGCCAACCCTCCACAGCCTGGTCCCTTATCTTGACCTCTCTGTCATTATCTGGGACCAGGTATGTGCTTACTTATTATTACCTATGACTACGATACTCAATATATCTCTGTCATTATCTGGGACCAGTCTGCCGCCGTTCTGCTTAGTCGCTCCGCCTTGTTGCCTTGTCCAGTTGCTCCGCCTCACTGTTCTGCTTAGTCGCTCCGCTTTCCGGCTCCGTTAGTCACTCCGCCTCTGCCGCTTCGTGACATTAGGTCAAGATCCATTACTGCACTGACAGCCTACCGATAAGGTTGTCCTTGCAGGGTCTATAGACACCACGTCTTCCCCAGTTCCGCCCGACTCTGAAACACCTGTTGCCAGTATAGACTGCTCCGCACTCCCGCACGCACTTGACCCCAGAGACCAAGCTCACGCCCATAACAACGACGATACTTGGCGCGATTGCCAGTCTCAACCTTGCCCCAACGCCCTTTCGAACTCAATCCGAGAGCCACTCACTGTGAGCAATATAACCTTCCTGCCGATTCCTCAGCCCCGATTGCCTACTCCCATCATGTCGACTCCTATCCCGCCTGCCCCAAACACCTCTGCGGATGATCTCATGGCTCAGCTCATCAGACAAGTAGCTAACCTTGCTACAGCTATGGAGGAACGCTCATCCTCCAAGTCAAGCATGAACAAACCCGAGGTTTTCAAGGGTAAAGATGGTGCTGAAGCCCGTCGCTTCATGGCTCAGTTCCAGAATTGGGCGTCAGAACAACCGGATCTCGCCAAAAGCCAGGTAAAACTCATCAAGTCCGCCTTGGGCTTCTTCACAGAAAGTGCCGGAGATTGGGCAACTCTCCATCTGCTACATTTCAATGCGGAAAATCCCCCTTTCGGAGGAAATTGGGAGGCGTTTCTGAAGGAATTTAGCCAACGGTTTGAACCAATGGACCCAGGTATGGAAGCCCGTAGCGAGATCAAGAATCTCAGGCAAAGTAAAGGACAGACAGTTGCGGAATTCGCTCAGAAGTTCAAGGATATCGGAGATCGGACTGAAATGTCTGATATTGACTTGCGGGAACGTTTCTTCACTGCATTACTCCCAGAGATCCGACAACACCTCATCACCGTAAACATTGCCCAAGGAATTGCTCCGACTCTGAAGGAGGCAATCAAACGGGCCATATCGGTGGATGTCTACCTGCACGATCCCACCATGACTGGCCGGAACTCTGGATACCCTCCCACGCATACCGCTCATACTACCCCTGCTGACCCCCACGCTATGGACATTGATGCAACCCACACCAGTAATGGGAATACTAGGGAAGCATTCCTAGCTCGCATGCGAGGACGATGCTTCGGCTGCGGTGCCCAAGGTCATGTCAAGCAAAACTGCCCACACCGAGAAACCACCTGCCGCCACTGTGGACGTCGAGGACACCTGGAAGCAGTCTGCCAAGACAAATTCATGGGACTCGGACGAGACCGAGGCCGACGCCAGCAACCTCGACGCCAACAGATATCCGCTACGGGACCCGCGCCATTCTCCCTATTCCCAAACGAATCCGTCCAAATCGCGTCCTCGACCCCAACATCTGCTTCTGCACCCGTAGCTGCTACTCCGAGCCCCCCTAACCAGGACTTTTCCAATCAGATTGGTCAAATAAGGGAATTACTTGATCGTGCTAACGCTATGTCCTCCTCGTCCTCTGGCTTCCAACAGGGTTTTTAAAGAGGGTACCCGCTTCGGCTGCACCGAGAGTACCCCGTAATCAGTTTGTTATGTTCGCTACTTCCTCGTATGACTCGCACCCATCATGTACAATATCGTCGATCCGGGAATTAAACTCTACTTCCCCACATTTCCGAATTCATGCGAGACTAAGAGGAAGGAATCACAGTATAACAACTGCAGCCATGGTAGACTGTGGAGCTACCGCCCTGTTTTTAAACCAAGACTTTGTCACCCGGAACCATGTAAGATGTGCACCCCTCCATAAACCGATCGACGTTTTTAATATCGATGGAACACCTAACCGAGCTGGACGGATAACCCATTTTGCACGTCTAGCACTCACAGTGGATAATCAAGAGCGATGGATGGACTTTCTGATCACCAACCTAGGAGGTGAAGACATCATCCTTGGACTCCCCTGGCTACGGAAGGTAAATCCGGAGATTGATTGGGAGAAAGGACGACTTTCAGTAAAGCCTCCTCGAGTAACGATAGAAGAAGTCCCAGACGAGGAGATCTTGTACTCTCATCTAGCCGCCACTCACACAGAAACCCCGATCCTCGAACTCCCGGAACTGGAACCTCCCGCAGAAAACCCCCACATTGAGGTGCCACTAGAAGCGACCCTTGAACCGAGTGAATCAGCAGCGGTGGAAGAACCACCAATACACCGAATTCGAGCCAATCATAAAACTCGCCGGGCATGGGTAAAAGTAGGAATTCTAGAGGAACAGACGGAGGAAGTCTGGTGCGCCGCAGGATTCACTTACTCCCAGCAGCTAGCAGAGGAAGCCAACCGAGACAAACCCGTTAAAACCTTCGAAGAAATGGTCCCTGAGCAGTATCGTGATTTCAAGAAGGTTTTCTCAGAATCCGCCTCCGAACGATTACCTGCCCACCAACCTTGGGACCATGCGATTGATCTCGTACCTGGAGCACCTGTTAAGATCATGTACACCGTGTAACCGTGCCAAGGCCACAGGGTGTCTAAGTGCGGAAGACGAGTGGGACAGTAGTGAAGTTATTAACAACACCGCCGTTACGCCGTTAGTCCCCGGAGATCGAGAGTAGAGAAGGAAGGAACTGAGAAGCAGCCAAGTCGGAGCGGCGGTATCGCCGGTGACGAGGAGCGGACCAGAGAACGTTAAAGTCCTAAGGTCGAGGAGAACGTGCTTCGAGGCGTTGAGCCTGAAGACTTAGAGAAGAGTTAAGTTGAGAAGGGAGATCTAAGTTGATCTAAGTTGATAATTAAACTGAGGAACTACAGTAGCGTACAGGCAGTATTTATATCTACGGAACGGCGCATCGGTGCGGAGCGCTAGACTAACTACTAGGAGCTATACGAGTAGTACCTGCAGGGTAGAGTAAAAGACAATAAGGAGAGACTAGGACGAAAGAGTAAAAGACAATAATGAGAGACTAGAACGAAAGGATATGTGTAGCGCGAAAGAACAATAGGAAGAGATTACAATAAAAGCAGATCTTCGGAATCCCGAGCGGCGGAATGGAGGCCCGCGGCATGGACTTGACAGTATCCCCCTCTTAGGCTTGAGCCCTCGAAAGCCATTAATACCGGTAGTTGGTTAGTCACCAAGGAAAAATTTTAAAGGCCGTTAGGATCGGGGATTTGGCCCATCAGTCAGCAGGAAAATTTCAAAAGCCGTTAGTACCGGGAAATGGCGTTCGGTCCACCGTACACCAAGTACAATTCGCAGGAAAATTTTCGCTGGTCCGTGCGCATTTTTGCCGTATAAAAGGCCCAAGGTTTTGCCGCTAAGGGCCTAACTTCCCAAAATCTTCTAAGTCCATCAGGATGTCGACCACCCGCACTACAACCACCAGTAACTCCACTGCTGGCCCTTCGCGGTCAAGACCCGCTGTTCCTCCGCCTCCCGCCAATACCGACAGTCAAGGACAAGAGGACGTGGGGGACGACGAGGACGAGATTTTGAGGAGGGCACATGAGAGAGTGCGGCGGATCAGGGAGCAGAAGGCCGCAGCGGCGGCGAAGAAAAAAGCCGAAGAAGAAGCGGCCAAGAAAGCGGCGGAGGAGGCTCGCAGGAAGAGGATGGCCGCTGCGCGGGAGTTGGAGGAAAGGAGGAGGTTGATGGCGGAAGCGGCGACCGCCAGAAGTCAGAGGGGGACGTCTCCTAGCGAGATGTCCGTCTCTCCACGAAGACCCGTGGTGGAACTTCGGCGGGCGGCGAAGGGCAAGGGAAAAGGAAAAGCCCCAGCGCAGGTAAGTCCTTTGGAATGATACTTAGTGATTAATACTAATCTCGTTTATAGCCAGTTCGCGGGGATCCGGATGACGGCGACGACGGGGACGACGACGATGATGACGAAGAAGACCGAGCGCCTTGCGAGCGGTGCAAGAGTAAGAAACTCCCTTGCCAGATGCAGGCAGGCAAGAGGAGTTCAATAATCTGTAAGCCCTGCCATGACGCCAAGGTGAGGTGCTCGTACTCGGGGCGTCCAACAACCTCGAAGCAACGGGAAGGCGGCTCCGGCGAGCGCATTGCCGTAATGGAGAGCCAAATGGCTCAAAGCCTCGCTGATCTCCGGGCCCTACGGGAGGCCGATTCGAAAACTCATCAATACCTTCGTCAGTTGTTGAGGAAACAAGAGGACGACCATGCTCGTCTTATAGCCATGGAGACGAGGATGGCTATGATGGGTATGGGAGAGAGACCGGCGGCGGCGGGACCTTCGAGAAGGACCGAGCGGCGGCGACCGCTGAAGC